GGCTCCGAAGGGTGTAATAAATTATTCTAACAAACCCTACAGCCAAAGATTTATTTCATGCGTTCCACCCTTTCTTATAGTTTTCCATTCTCGCTTTGGTTTAAATAGTAGTATATAGGTGGCCGTTACAGGCGACGCAACTGGGTAGTGCGTTTGTAGTGTCGCCGTATAGTTATTATGTATATGTTTATATATATACATATAAGTACAACAGGCTCATAATATTATGTGTACACGGACAGAATTGTCTGATTTAACGAGCCGTGGAAATTGGCTCTTTTCGAAACCCGTCAACGATTGAAAAGTAAAAACGACGGCGGTCTGTATGTGCTTATAATAACATATAAAATACCCGATGGGCAGACAACATCAACGTCTCCTTCGATCTATTATTTTCATTCCAAATCAGTTCTTCAGTTGAGTTACACATTCGAGGAGACTCCCATGCCAGCCCGGCCACGACAATAGTCGCCGACGCCTTATTTGTCAATGTGATAACTACCTAATAACGTGTCGCTCGCATTGTTATTTTCATTAGGCCGTTGTACATACCCGACAAGGTATTATAGGTAGTACCTAATTGTAAAGAGTAATTAACCGGGTGCTAGACTCCGCCGACACCTGTTAGAGTACGATGTATATAATGTTTACGCAAACCTGCACTTAATGTCATATAAATTCACACAAATAGAGATCATGTTTAAAAATAATTCGATGGTGCTCGGGTAAATCTGGCTAAGTCTGAAATTTGGAATTTTCAGTATTTAAAAATTAAAATTCAAACGCAAATAAGAAATAAGAGAACATTAATCTAACTTAATTATTTTATTCAGCTATTGAACTTCTCGTAGGTAAACTATACAGCATATAAAACTAATGGGTTTTTTTTGGGTAGGGGGAAACTATTAATTTAGTTTGGTCCCGAGACCTGTGGCTATGGGTAAACAAAATTATAAAAAAAAAGGAGAAGCTAACGAAAGCAGGACGTTTCATAGGGTACGGTCTGAAATTTTACCAATTTGGCCTAATTCGCCATAGCTTAGTCATCAGAATTGACCGTCGTAATAGCGTGCAGAATTAATATCCGTCGTGACCCCGAGGCAGAGTCAGGTTTGTTTAAATGTTCGGTGGTCTCTGAACTGTCGTTTTATCTTATTTTAATAAAACTTACAAAAATAATTATTTTACGTATTCCCCTTAAAAAAAACATTTCTCAAATGTTTCAAAACCACAGCTAAAATAAATAAATCTGTTAAGTTTTATGCTAACTGTGATTTAAATTAAGCGTACACAACACGTTCTGTACAATCTTTTTTTTCAATGTTTGGAACTTGATGCCAAAATATTCTTTAAAATATTAAATTTCCTTCAATTAGTATTCAAAACCCATCTTCAGTAAGCTCCCGATAACTTTTTCTATTATTTTATTTTTACTACTTTCTAAATTCTTGATATTTTAATTACCAAGTAGTAATGTTAAGAAAATTATACCTAAAAACCAGTATAATAGGGTCGCGGCAAAATGGGAACGGAGTATATTGGAACTGAAGAGGACCTGTGTAGGTCTATACGAATTTACTGAAAGTGATAAAATCACCTTTAAATAAACGTTTTTATGTGTATCTGTAGATGTATAAATTTATAAACTTATAGTTAATAATGTGTTTAAAATTGTATTTTTAGTATTTGGGTGAATACGACTAGGGTTGCTCGTATGTAATTTCTCGCTGTTACAACATAATGACAATATTTTTCGAATACCTGTTGACTGTTCATTCCCTCATAGCATAGAAGCCTAGCAATTGACTACGGCTAAAGTGTAATTTTTCCCTTTTTTCCTTAATGTATAGAAAGTTTGACTACAAATTTTTGAGAAAATTGTATATATTATAATCCCATTCTAGATCTACCTTCAATGATCGGTCTAATTTTCAGACCTCAAGCCCTTAAAAAGAGCTCTGCCTAAAGAAGCGTAATAAAGGAAGTTTTCACCTCTTCTAAGTTCTAGGGAAAAGGTTTATGATATTAGTTTGGTTTGTTAACGTTTATTGATAGTACTATATCTTAAGAATATTGCATTCCAATTTTTAAAAAAAATTTATAAAGCCGTAGTTTTAAGTTGAAAAATGTGTAAATTATTTGGACTTTTTATCGTCTTTGAATGGGAAGGAGTGAATTTTTTAAATTTGAGCTTCAATATTGTAACTTTTGGTTACGATTTCTGATTTATAAAGTTACCACTTGAAGAAATAATTCTTTATTTTCATTTTCATTAGATAATTCATATTAATTTTCGGTTTTTGACTGATATCGTATATGGGGGAGAGAGAGCGTTTATCTTCCAAAACTTTTTAAGAATCTTTTACGATGACTTTTGCAGATAATACTCTATTAGGAGGAGTAAAGACGTTAGACTCTTTATGTATAAAAGATCTTTAAAGCTTAACCTGTAATGTGTAGTATTAGTTAAGTAGTTAGAACTCTTTTTTGGTAGTTAATTTATTTTTCGGACTATCACAGCATTATTGACAGCAATTATAAATATATTTTTCATCTAATCATAAGCATGACGACGCCACTGAATACAATCACAATACGAACCCTCGTCTCTCTTAACTAGATAGTTTTTAAGGCAATGTCAAGGAAACGCCTTAACTTCATGATACACACCACCGAAATGAACTTGATTGTAAAATGACTCCAAGATTATACTCTTGGTGGACCCGTAATGTCGACAGGAAGTTTTCTGTATCGCTTTAAACAAAACAGAGAACTATTGAATGAACTAGCAAACGTCCCAGCTAGGTATCATAAAAAAAAACCCAAGGTCACTGTATTGAGTAGACAAATAGTACAAATAGTATACTACAGTCATCATTATAAATATGTATAACAAAAATAACGTTTAAACAACCAATTCATATTTTATAAAGACACAAACTGTTTGAGCGTCGTTTTACAATGTATAATACAAAAAAACAAATTTGATAATTCGTCAAGATTGATTTCAGTCACTTAACCTCTGTCGAGTAACTGAATACATGTATGAAAGATGTGCGACATCCTCATTTTCCCAACTGAAAAACTAAACAAACACAACGAACCGTTGCTGTTTAAATACAATAAATAATTTGTACTTTTCTTATATTTTAATTTCTCTTACTGTTAGCCAGTCATCGAATTCATGATGTGTTCCACGTAGGACGGTATAAATAATAGTCGTCTGTCGTTGCACGCACGCAAGTAGAATAGAAAAATCGTATTATGTTAATTTGATATTATATTTTATCATTTGCATTTTCCATGACCTTATCCGTAGTCTACTGAGAAACATTTAATCAATAAGACGGGTATTATCTTTTTGACAATTTCCTTTCTTAAATTGGTGGGAACGATTAACGACTAACAAGCCGTTTTTCTGGAAACAATAAAATCTAAATTTTGCTAATACATTTTGTTATTTACTAATATAATATGTAAATGGGCTTTCACAAAAAATTAATGTAAATTTCGATACTGAAACATTTTGAAAAAAAGATTTGAACGAAGGTAGTTGTGGTATGTTAATGGTTATATCGACGCGTCTTACGAAAACTAGCACCGTTGGCACCAAATGACGAATAATGCTAGTCTTTGTAAGAACTTGAACGGTGCTACTTTTCGTACGTTAATGTAGTGTTCATAATTTATTGTATCCAATACACAAAGTAAATTGAGCCTTAACATTAAGGTTAGGTAGATATCTAATTATTATACAAGATGATAATAGTTACAACATACTAATAGTGAAGTACTATGTTATGGTAACCAATGGGATGTGGTGTGATTTTTTGGTTAGTAAAAGTTCGTTGGTTGACAATATTATAATATTGTTATTCACGTCAAAATAATGGCCGTTCTCTAGCGGATACGCGATTTAAAAACATGAAAATATGATCTCCTTGAGACATCAAACAAGCCATATTTTTCTCAACCGTTTAAATAGTTCTTGTATTTTTGAAAATAAAAAACTCACACGAGACAAGTATTCGCACTGATGACCCAATTCGTATAGTCAATTATTATTTGTGAATTGATGATAAAAAATAACATAAAAACGGCTTTCACACGGTTTCGACTGGCATTTAACATTTTTGTTTTAACAATTTAAACATAGTTTTGAATATTCTATAGTTGGCATTACCGGGAAAGCACTCGTAGTTCTACAATTAATTTCAAGGATTTCCAATATCTGTTGACGCGGCCGTTATTTGGGCATCTAATAATTAAAACTCAACTAGACAGCAGAAAAGACAATATTTTCAACAAAAAAAAATTACATATATATGTGTGCGTGTGTATGTTTAACGATTTATTTAATGACTATTATAATGAATAGTGTGAATAAGTAGATAACTGTATACATTTTGATAGTAATGTTACGTTTGTAATGTTATGTACCCAACATTTACCAAATTCTAGTACCTATTAGAATACAACATTAATAATGTGGGTAATATAAACGTTGATAATCGGTTCGAAAAACAACTACAACAGGTTACTCGGCCCGCATTATTTATTAGATAGGTAGGTCAATAACACTGGGTTTAGGTACGCGATAGTTTTTGGTTCTGTATAATTTTCTATTCACCAAAATGAAGTAGAGGACTAGTGGGGGGAGGGGGTATTACTGAAAATCTATTTGACGGGCGTTTCGAAAGAAACGAATGACTAAAAAGATTTATTTCTTGATTTAAACCGTAAAAAAACTATATAGTATAAATTTACAAACATTTACATAGTAAAAAAATAATTAAATACCTTCTTAGCTCCACATTGAATCTAAAATGGATCTATGCAAATCGCTGATTTCAGTAAAACTTAATAAACTATTATTTTACGCGCTGAGATAAGTTTCTTTGTTTGTGAATTACGGTTTCTATATCACAACAGTCTTAAAATGTATAATACATTTTTTTTTTTGCTTAACAGTTTAATGGATGATTTTGTTTTATTTACAGGAGATGACTAGCGAGAAAATCCCTATATGGCTGTACGACAAAAAATTGTGGATCAACGACGCCGACCGTCGGACAACATGCGCCGACGTGGTGGCCACGTTGACGGGGCATGACAACAACTATGCTATAGCCGTGGCCGGCGGCGTTAAGCATCGCGCTGGTGACGGCACAGTAGTGGCCGACCCGGAAACTAAAGTGCTGAAGATCTGGCACAGCTTGCAGCCAGATCAAAAGTTGTACCTTCAGAAGATCGGTGGAGGGGGTGGAGGCGCAGGCAGTAGACATGTGACAGACGATGCGTCGGAACTCAGTTTCGCGCAGAGAAGGAAGCGGCGAGAAGTTGTCAAGTACGCTTCGCGGACGGTACACCCGAAGCGGCTCAGCAACACCCAAGCGGCGGAGGAGCTTCTGAAACTGATATTGGAACAGAGCGACACCATTAGGGCCCAACTGAAAAAGCTGCAGGACCGCGACAAGAAAATCGAAAAAATCGAAACCGATACCCATAAAACGCGAACGGACACACTAGGAACCAACTACTTACTAGAGGCATACTTAGGCGACGACAAGGAGGAAATGGATAGTGGCATTGCCGAAGTGGCCGCAAGTGTTGAAAACGACGAGGCCGATACATTCGAAGCCATCGACTATTTGGAGAGAATCGTGAAAATCAACAAAAAGCTTTGTGAACACGAAGAGCGATTGATAAGGTTGTACGTTAATATTGAAAGGTGCAGGGACCAAAAACAACTGGTGGACGAGCTGCAACGAGCCGACGCCCATATCACAGAAATCGAACTCATGTTTCGGGAAAACAATGAGATCATCAAAGACGCCGATACCAATATGCGCACTAGAATAGGGTACATCGAACAGTTACAGTACGAAGCAGCCATCGTAGATAGTGAAAATGAATACCTGATGAGCTTCATCGAAAACGATAGCCTGAAGCAGAGTAAAGTGGAAAACCACTCTTACCGCATCCTAGACACATTAGTTTAACAAAAACATTGTAATATCATACACCGTTGTCGATTGTTGTACAAAGAAAAGTTTTCCAAATGTTTATTTTTTCAAAATTTTTAAAACATTGCTAAATATAAATAAAAAAATTACTTTTGGTACAATAATTTTATAGTCGATCATAATATTATACATATTTTATTAATAAAGTATTCAAAATATGGCTATGTTATCCATCTGTTTTATAGCTAATATTTTATATACTACATATATTTATTTGTCTTAACTTTATTTAATAAGCCATTACTTAGTTCCTGGGTTAAATGAGTCTGTTTTTCATTGCAATATTGTCATTACAAATTGTTCAAAGAAACATTATTATCCCGATTTTTATTTTTATACAAATTAATTATTTAATATAATATTGCACAAATGTTACTTCAAGATTTTTTTGAGTACCTAGCCAACTTTTTTATCTATAATAAAATGTGATAACTGGATATATACTATAAAAAATAACATTGCATATTTTCTAGCATTAGGGATTACTGTAAATAAATAATTAATAGAATACTGTTACTGTACCGTAGAATAGTACTGTATTGTAGAATAAACCAAAGTTTACATTGTTAAATGTTGATAAGTGTTGTTTTTATTTGTTTAAAATATATTGAGTATACATATCTTAATAAATGTTTTTCTTTAACCAAAATTTTTGTATAAATAAAAAAAAAATGTTTTATATTTTTATTGTTATAATTATCAAACTACTCATTATTCAGTTTCCATTGCCACTGCTGGTATAGGATCTTGTGGTCCTTCAGGTCCATCTTGTGGGGGCTGAGGTGCACTCCCTGATGACTCGCTCGAGGGAGGAGGCGCCCTTCTTTCTTCACCTTCAATCAATGATAATTTTGTTTGTGTTTTTTCCTCATCATAAATTTCAAACAACTGATTTTTACCAACAACAGCAATTGAAACATTCTATGAAAAAAAAAACAATAAACTTAGTTAATAAACCTGAAAATTGAAAAGCCCAAGTCATGTACCTTTGATGTTAGATTGACATCATTTGGCAAAGTGTCTCTCAAAGCCCTCATACCATGTTTTAACAATTCCTCTAGAGATGAGTCTTTAAATGCATCTAAATTTCTTTCTAAATACGTTCGAGCACTCTGTGATCGGGAACCGATAGCCATAGCTTTACAATCAGTATAATTTGCAGATGGACAAGTTTGATAAATATGAGGTCCGTTATCCTAATATAAAAACATAACAAATCTTAAATGTTCAATATTTTACATACTATATAAAATTAATAAACAATGATTCCAGTGATGAGAATCAAAGGGATACAGTGATATTTATAATGATTTTAAAAAGAGCAAAACTATATTTTAGTGAATATAATCTTATAGGAAATGTTTTCAATTAAATATAGCATGAAAAAGTGTCTGTTGATAATAATTTATGATATAGAACTAGTTATGGATGAAATTATCACTTGTACTATTTTGATTCTCATTACTCTAATTAAGGTCATGTGTCACTTACATCATAGCCTGCAACCAGGAGACCTACACCATAAGGTCGTTTGTCGTAACGTTGAGTACACAATTGCATCCTATTACCAACTTTTGTCATCAATCTAGATACAGGAACATTATCGCCATGAGCAAATTTGTGTGATGCACATTCAGATCTCATGAACTTGCTAAAAAAAAATATAAAAAATATCTATTATATTTATTATTTGCATATCACATTGGAAATACATATATTGTGTATAATAAGGTGGTCTTTAATCGCAGATGAAGAATTTTTTTTTAAAGTTTTTCAATGGGCTACCTCGTCATTTTGTTCATCACTATGAAAAAATAATTTAGGTAGGATTTGGTTCTCATAACTCACCCCCTTCACATACCTTAAGGGGGTTGAAAATGGCCAAATAGAGTAGCTTTATGGTTTTTCGAGTTTGTTTTTGATAATATATTTTTTTAGTGATCTATAAGTAAACAAATCCTAATTATTTTCTCCGCACCACGGGACAACATTAAATCATGGATATGTTTTAGCATTACGGGTCCATATAACCATAACGATTTCTAGTATCTAAGATGGCTAGTATATTAAAACATATCAAGTTTCTGGCTAATATTTTAGTGTTTAATATCTGGCTTAAAAAAATTCATAAAAATATAACCTCTTAAATTATTGAATTCCTTTTAGTTCAGTTCTAATTTACACGCTGTGAATACAACATATATGCACCCAACCCACACCCACACCCATCCCCAACCCAATTCCATTTATAGTATTTTACTGATATCTCCTACCCCCATCTCTTATCTTTTACCCCTATCTCAATTCCCATCCCTAACCCCAACCCTATTCCCACCCACTGTGTTACAAAAGCGTAACGCTTTTCATCACGTGCAAGTCGTATCAACGGCGGCGTTGAGCGTGTTAATGACAGATCATAAAGGTAATTTGACTTTTTATGCTAAAAGCAATATATATATTTTTTACTTTAACTCAAAAAACTATAAAACTACCTATTTGGCCATTTTCAACACGGCACGTGAAGGGGCGAGTTATCAGAACCAAATTCTACCTAAATTCTTTTTTCATAGTAATGAACAAAATGGCATCGTAGCCCATTGAAATTTTTAAAATTCATAAATAAAAACCGGCCTAGTGTATAATACACATTTGTTATTAAATAATAAGTCAATAGACAAACAATACAAATGAAAAGTATAAGATTTATAAGACACTTAGGTTAAAAAGGTAACAGAACACCATACTTCCTATTTATTAAAGGGTTCGGTAAAAGCATTGTATGTAATTTATTTTGTGCATAAGTTAATGGTAATATTAAACACTGTATCTTGTAAAAAAAATTTTTAGATTGATTAATTACTTTTGTAATGAAGTAAAAATAAAAAAAAAAAGGAGTAAAAATTAAGCTACTAAAGATATTAATAAAAATCCACAACATGATGTGGTGTATAATACATTTTCTAGATAGTACTGACTAAATTTCTGAATAATTGCTCATTTTTAAAAAGTAAATACTAAAATGAATACTAAATACTAAACACATTATTACAATAGCTAACCTTAAGATTCGAGCATCAGCCAACAGACCAGAAAAGGAAAAACCAATATGATCATCCACTGGTATTATTTTTTTCTGATAAGCTGACAATTCATTCGGGGCACGTTTAAGAGCAACAATAGCAGCATGTGTTCTGTTCTTTAATGCAACGACCGATGATCCTAATTTAACAGCTTCCATAGCGTATTCAACTTGATGTAGTCGTCCCTGAGGACTCCACACAGTAACATCACTATCATACTGATTTCGAAACTGAAAACAAAAAATTAATTGGTAAATTGATACTGTACATGGTGCTCATAACAATTTACTCATTGCAATTTCTCCTATTTTAATTAAGTTTTTCAATAGTTCATTTACATGCAAAAAGTGCTAAATTTGTTGATTTTTATTTATACTAACTTACTTTAAGAATTTAAGTTATTATTTTAGTTGTTATTTTCATTAGTTTGTTGTTTTATTTACAAATGACTATTTCAAACTGTAGTAAACTTTAATTGTTGTAACAAAAAAATATTGAAGCGAAAACCATTATTAACATTATTATCACAGAAATTGCAAGTACTAAATACTTAAAGGCCTCTTGTGGTTAAATACTATTAAATTAAAATACACATATACAACAATTATAATGAACAAAAGAATACTAGTTATAAATATAAAAATAAAAACCTGAATATCATAATTGTACATTTTAATGGATGAGTCAGCAAATATTAAATAATTTGTATACAACCGATTTTGCCAAAATATAAAATGTAATTTAAAGAAGATACACATTTATTAAGTATTCAATAAGTTAATTATTACAACTATCTTTTAAAATCATATTATTAAAAAAGTTATTTATTTTTAAAAAAAACCAGAGAAACCTTTTCAATTATTAAATTTATATCCTAAAGTAGATATTCCTAATGGACAACAACCATTAGAAGCTATAGAATTAAAATATCTTATTGATTACCTAGATCTTAATGAAATATTGCAAATAAGTAAATTATAAAAATTATAATAGACATTTGGAAATTTAGTTAGAATTAATTAGAATTATAATTTATTATAACTAATAACTTTTTGTACGTTTTGCTTTTCTTTGTTTGAAAAAAGTAAAAGATAAAAATTCAATTTTTGTGACCTTACCATTTTGCAGTAATGTTTGAGTCTTTTATTATGTAGAACCGAAAAGTAAATAGATCGTTAAAGTTTAACGTTAAACACTACTTAACAAAATTTAAGTTGAACAATTTCCAATTTAATAATTTAAAAATGACTTGTTATTTTTCTTTTTGAATTGAACTGGATTATTTGAGGTTAAAGTTGATATAGTGTACAGTGTAGCAAACGTACGCTATCAAAATAATGTTCGGTTATTTACATTCAATACCGTTGAGTTAATAACTATTGATAAAGATTCCTGTAATATATTATGTGTACACTAGTATCTCTATAGTCTAATTTAGTATATAAACATTGTATATTTTGTATTGCTTTTTCTTGTTTGTTGTTAGCTATTGAAATTTAATGTATTGAAAGATATTGTATATTATTTAACTAGTAAATTCAGATATATGTAATATTTATATATTATGGAAAACGTAGAAAAGTATATACCGGTATGCGAATGCGAAGGGGAAGACTTTATGGAGATACCTTTGGAGAGTGATGGTACACTATCAACAGCAACATTAAGTGCATATTTTCCTGGAGTTACTGGCTTAAAATTTCGTGTTGATTCATATTCACCCTACAGAGCACTGAGACTATATGATGGGAAATTTCATGCACCAGAAGGTAGCTGGGCTGGACACAAGTTTTATTGTGTACATCCAAAAGGTAGTGTATTAACTGAATGTTTAAAAATATATAACTAAGTTAACTCTTCTTCAATTTTCCCTTAAGGTGACAAAAGAAAACTAGAAGAGACTGACACTAAGCCGTCTAAAGGCTACCACAGTATGAATTGTACAGATTTAATTGTTTTGGGTTTACCTTATCAGCTCTCAGAAATCCAAATGAGAGATTATTTTGAGCAATTTGGAAAACTAGTCATGGTTCAGGTAATAGTGATTACTTTTAGTTTTCTTAACAAAATATTAATTATTAAATGTATTTGCTTTGCAGATTAAACGAGATATATCAGGGAACTCCAAAGGTTTTGGTTTTATACGTTATGAAGATTATAGCTCGCAGGCAAAAGCCCTAGGGCAACGGCATTATGTAAATAATCGTTGGGTAGAAGTCAAAATACCAGCTTCAAAAGTAAATAATATTTTTAAAAATGAATATGGTCATTTATATTTTACTCATTTAGTATAAATCTGCTAAGTGTCTTTTTTTTCCTGTTGATTGATTTATACTACATATTTACAATTATATAAAATACCAATTACTTTTTGATATTTTTTATTATTAATTTTTAGTATGGTATCAATTTGTTTATTTAGGAAGGCTATTATTCTAAGGTTCCTCATAAAATATTTGTTGGTCGTCTCACTGAAGATATTAGTGAGCCTGATCTTAGTAAATACTTCTCACAATATGGTGAGATTACAGATGTATTCATTCCAAAACCATTCAGAGCATTTGGTTTTGTTACCTTCAATGACGCCTCTGTAGCACAAAGTCTTTGTGATGAAGATCATATTGTTAAAGGAGTATCTCTACATATATCTGAAGCAAATCCAAAGTCTGATCAAAATAGGGTAAGAAAAATTACTGCTGTAACAATTAAGAGCTGCATAATATTTATGTTGATGTAGACATTTATGTATAGGATAAACAAGTTAGCAGCCAACAACAGTACATGGGCAACCTACTGACTAACGGCATGTTAGCAGCTGCTCTCAGCCAAGCCACATACCAAACCCCTTCAATTCCCTATCAAAGTCATCGGGCGTACGGAAAAGTACATGACTGGAAACGCCGCAGTAATTAGTAATTAGAGCCAATGCTATATAAGATTAAATTTATATAAATTGTGATGAAAAATGATCAACTTGGCATTAGTGCCCTTCTCTTGTCTTTTCTCCCTAGTCATACTTCTCATCTGATTCTCATTTTTCATATTCTGAATATTTTGACAAATATCTATATACTTATTCATTTCACAATCAATTTAAGTATTATGTTAAGTATTATAAATTTTATAACTAATCAATTGTAATGTATAACTGTTGTGTTACATGAGTGTTATTACTGTATATAAATACTGTGTATTTTGAAAGTTTTACTTTTTATTTAATTTGCCAGGTATGATTTTAATAAATAAGTTTTACTTTGACTATAGTGTTATACAAAATAATATACACCATATTGTTACTATATTAAAATTAAGGATAGGTAAATTTAATGTACAACTAATAATTGTACTATTAATTGTTGTGTTTATTCAAAAGCAACTATAAAGTGTCAAATTATTTTATTATACGTCGTACATCAAAATCATTGTTAAGAAATTGTGTAATTGTTTTCAATATTATAAAATCGATAAAAAATTGTTAGTATGTAAAACTAATAGATTTACAAATAATGACTTTATAAATATAAAAACATGTTTGATTTTCACATATGTCTGTCTTTTAAGTATTTTGTTTTAATAGTAATGAGATGTTTTAGTACTATTTTAAGAGCATTCACATCCATTTTCCAGGGATATTACTAGATGAGTTAATTTATTTCTCCAATCCCTATGCTATTTCGACCATAAACAATAGTTAAGTCTACATTAAAAAGAAAAACTAAAATACAAATTCGTTATATTTTAGATCACTTTATAATTTCTACAATATTAATTATAACTTGTATTTGGAAAGTCCATAACATTTTATTTATTAGTGTATATGGTTTTATTTTGAGCCGAGTTACAATAATTAATTATAGAAATGATTGAATAAATACACCAGAAAGATTATCTTGACATGCATTGACCACATGAATGAACAATGGTTTGATAACTAATATCTTACTAATACTTTAGAAGGATATGAAATAGTTATTTAAACATTTTTACCATAACATTTATTTAATATCAAAACTTATTAGTTTAAATATTGGAAATTGTGCTCTTTGTGGCCGATCCTAAACAGCTAAAAGAAAAATAATTTTTTACTAACACTTAATGTTTTTACTTTTAAAAAACAAGACTCTCAAGTAGCGTTAACGGCTGATCCCAATTGCCCTCACACACAAGTCTTGTCTTGTCAAATTTTTCTGAGGGAGCCCCGCGGATGCCTAGCGCCAGGACTCCCAAGACCGTAGTCTCTTAATCCGAATTTTATAGACAATGCGCGATGAGTGTTCACTGCGGTTAAAGAATAAAATTTTAAATAATCTGTTTTCACTATAGGCGGCAAGTGCGCTATCAATGCTATTGGCCTATAGTAATAATTGGTGTGCACACTGTACACTGCACACTTTATAAAGACTATATATTTATAGTCTTTACAGTCTACATTCTCTATGATTCGACCGAACTGCGAATAGTGGAAAAACACAATTACCCGTTTTATATCGTGTGGTCACACTGGGGGTTTTTGACACGGGCGCTTGCGCACTAAGTCCCGTTCAGATAATTTATTTCCAATAAGCCGCACTGCTGAAAGCCGTACCGTGTGCTGACTGCTGTGTGATACATTACTCAACAATTAGAAATTCTATTTAGTATTTATTATTATTTAACATACTTTATTGTTATTGTTATTTTTTTAGTGTAGAAAATTCACTCGAGTTCCATACTTATTACTTTCATCACTGTAGAAAACCCTCATCCCGAGTTTTTTATATCTGCAGTTTTAATATTTAATACAAGTTAGCGCTAGAAATCATTTTTAATGTCAGAACTACAGTCTGCGCTATTATTAAAAAAACAACTTACTGGTAAGTAGCTAGCAGTAAAGCGGTTAATTCGTTTTACGATATTATCCATGTAATTTGAAAGTTTTGGTGACATTATAACATCGATTTCTGTTTTATTTCACTTTCATCATGCCCTCTACAACACTATTAAATTGTCATGTGCTAACCATTTGTTCTAAAGTTCCGGTTTTCATATTTCTCAGAAAATTAAAAAAGACCTATTCTTCTATCTACGAAAAACTATTATTCTTACATTTCTGAACGTCTAGTTTTAATCAAATTTTGAGGTTGGGAAATTAGTACAGCTAAAGTGGTTTAATGTTTAATGTAGTGTGTTTAATGTTCAAGGTGAAATCATTGGTGAATTTTGTTGTTTTCTTTGTTTAGAATTACACAAGAATCCAGTAGAAGGGTTTTCTGCTGGTCTTATAGATGACAACGATATATACAAATGGGAAGTTCTCATCATCGGACCTCCAGACACGTTGTAGTGAGTATTTAGCAGTAATATGTTTTTGTATGAAATTTTGGTACTCTATTATTTTATTACAACATGATGATAATATCATAAAAATTTTTAATAATCATTTTACTTATCTGTTGAATAAAATATATGGTATATTAGTACATAGTATACATAGTATATTACTAGCCAGGGTGCTGGGCCTGGCGCTTAAAGGGCCCCTAAAAACAATTGTATCTCTAAATTTGATATATTTTACATCATTTTACAGTTGTTTACCCTAGCATATCCCACATATTGTATTAAATGCCCGGGCCCTAGGACTTCAACATAGCTGGGGACCCTCGCTAAGTTTGCGGCCCTAACTAAGCCGATCCTGTTACCAGCATCAGAAAAATGAATTTATTTGATATAGTATATATAATATCATATAAATGGATTTGCTATTTGATATTTAGTTTACATCATGACCAGATACTACTCTTTCTTTGTTTGCTTAAAACTGTTTTTAAAACTATGACTAATGCATAAATCTTACCCACTATAGAGGTCATTACCCTTTTTTGTTGTCTTATTAACAAATCTCTTATATTTTTTTTTAAATAACTATATTTGTATTACCTATTTAGAGTTTCATTGATTTTTTAAACATATATTTTGAACATACAAAATTACTATAATTATGTTAACCCAAAGTTTGTTAAATTTATACTCATACAATTTTTGAAATTTATAATGGTCACGGATCAAATGACTAACTACTTTTTATTAAAATATTTTTATAATATTTTATTAAATAAAAAACACTATTATTTTTTAATCTACTTTATTATATTATAAAAATGAGTATACTTATTTTTATCATTATTGTTAACATTTTATTTTGAAAAAACATTAATTTAAGTTGCATATTAAATAAAATTATTTTATTAATTTAAAGGTATAAATTTACTAGTCATCCTATTTAAAAAAAACAAAATTGCTTGTATTTGTTAGTACTTTTTACATTACTTTGAACCTACAAAAAATATGCCCAGATTCTTGTGGTTTTAAAGTTATATATTTGTTTACAGTTACCATAATATTTATCACAACTGCAGCGACACACCCATCGTGACTTTTTTTTTTGTGTATCCTTGCTATAAATCTAGAGCCATATACACTAGCGAACCGAGCCTATCGAGAGCCTGTCCCAATTTGGCTTGGTTCGCGTTAGGTTTGTGTCAAAAAACCCGTCAGTAGATGGATTTTTGCAAACTGTTCGGCAGACACCTTAGGATATCTTTCGTTGTGTGAGCGAGCGAGTGTCAAATATTTGGTAACCTGTACTTGCTAGGCTGCATAGCACCATCTAAATATTCACTGAGCACATAAAAATACAATTTGGCTCATGCTTTTTAACTGTTTGAGTGCAGTAATTTTTTATACGTTTAAAATCGGCACAAAAATGTCTATATATTAATAAATATGTACGCTGAAGTAGATGTGTTCTAATAATATTAATTAACTTATTAGTGATGTACATATTTTTTTTTTAATTAAAAAATAAATATTAGGAATTTACTGAATAGTATATTTATTTAATTTTATTCGTACAGCTTATATGACTTGCATATTAATTTATTGTCTACAGTGAAGGTGGATTTTTCAAAGCTCATCTAAACTTTCCAAAAGAATATCCATTAAGGCCTCCAAAAATGAAATTTGTTACAGAAATATGGCATCCTAATAGTAAGTTTTTTTTTTTAAAGTATAATTGTATTTTTAAAACTATAATGATTTTTGTTAGTCGATAAAAATGGTGATGTTTGCATATCAATACTTCATGAACCTGGCGATGATAAATGGGGTTATGAAAAAGCAAGTGAACGTTGGTTACCTGTGCATACTGTTGAGACAATACTAATATCGGTAATATCAATGTTAGCCGATCCTAACGATGAAAGTCCGGCTAACGTAGATGCTGCTAAAGATTGGCGTGAAAACTATCCAGAATTCAAGCGCAAAGTTGCACGTTGTGTGCGTAAAAGTCAAGAGGATATCTAATAACAACTTTGCCAGTTGCTCTATGCACTGTGTTACCAACATATAAATCATTAATTGATGCCAGGGTAAAAACTGTTGTTAATTTCATATTATTTTACTTTATAATATATTAAAAGCTTTTTACAGTAAAAAAAAAAACATAAGGTTTAATTTATTGTATAGTTCTTAATTTAGCTACTATTTGTTGCCCAAATAACTACTTAAAAAGTGTGACTATTTAAAAAATACAGGATAATATTGTTCTGGTAATTTAAAAGTTTATCCTAAAAAAAAAAAAATATGTTTTCGCATTTAGTGGTGCAATTAGCTATACAATCTTGAGCGTTCTTGACCTTTACCATTATTGTATTAAGCAGAAGTGACTAACTGGGGCTTGTTAATAAATCTTGATATGTTTCAAAGTAATCCAGAAGGCTTGTCCTCCCCCAATTTTGCCACTAAGTGGACTGTAGTATTTTTTTATTGACTAATTAATTATGTCAGACTATATTATTTAAACTTTGATATTGAAGTTAATAAGGTTTGAACAATTTCTGTTTGTTTGAACAAAGCCATTAACAACAAGTTTAATTTAGCCTATCATTAAATACTCAACATTTTATGCCATAATAAGATGTTAAGGTATTATTAAGATAAGTTTATGCATTTTTATTAAGGAAAACGTTCACCACTACAATATAATATAATATAAAGATGAATTTTAAAATTAATATTTTAAAGTGCGATTTTCTATTAACTCTTCTAGTTAATTGAGTGTACTCTTCGAAAAATAAATTAAAGCTGATAAATTATGTATGATCCTGCAACGAACAAACATATATAACATGACATGTATTTGTAAATAAATATTTTGAATGATTAAACTATTTCTATTTATTGAGCTAAACAATATTGAGAAAATAAATAATAGTTTGAGTTAATCTTCATTTATAGGAATACTTAAAAGTCTTACTACCCCTTCTGACTTCTTAATAGTTTCAATTTGAAATGTAATATAACTTATAGGTATCTAAGAAGTGGGGCCACAAGTATTTTAATTTTCACAAAACCGTTGTATAAAACGTTTCAATTAATTTGGGGGATGATGTGGCACAGGGGTTGTTACTTAAGTTGTCACTCTGCACCTGAGGTTACGCTGTGCTAAGATTATTGCTGCTTGATTCTGGATGGGTACCCCCTAGGCTTTTTTGCAGCAACCCATTCCATGTTTCATACCTACACAAAACAAGCCAATGACCATAGGAGCTGAAACAATGAAAAAAAAAAAGTTGAATATAAATAGAAGATTCCTATTAAAATTATAAATATTAGATAAAAATGTTTTTGAAGTCAAAAACTGAAAGATAAGTGTATAAAATCTGAATTTTTTTAATTTCATACAATTTTTGCACTGTATTAATAAATTCGATAATTATTGTATTTTTTAAGATTTACATATAGTAGCACTTTTTTTGGATGTTGAATGTTACCCTTAATGTCGATATAAAAATATTTATAAAATATATTTGTAAATAATTGTTAATTCCAACTATATTTATTCATTAGATATACACAGTATAACTAAATTATTTCACTAACATATTTCTCTCTACTTGTATGATACTAATACAATTAAAAAAAACTTTAAAGTAATTTATAAACAAATAATTTCAAATGATATATGTTTCAGGTAACAAAAAACTAGAGCAACAAACAACATTTTATACAATGTGATTTTTAATGTAAGTGTTTTTTTTCAAGTCCCTAATAAAATATTCAATAACTATCATTGATATTTGTATTTTGAAAAGTTAGGCAAATAAATTTTTCATGAATTATATTATATAATTTTACTATTAGTTATTATTTTTAAAAAATCGATCAAATAGAATCAACACCAGCTTGTCTAATTATTTTCAATAAAATGATTAACATTATTCAAATAATAGTCTGCCCAAAGTATTATATTTTCCTCATTGTGTTCAAGTGAATTTATTTTAGCAGGATCATTATTTATTCTCTTTAGTTTACTTTAAAATTATATGTTATGTATGATGAAGTTTCAGTTTTTTGTTAACTTCAATTAATACTCTGTCCGTTACTACATGCTGCGCCGTAGATATATTCATTTTAAACTCATTCGTTTAAGTAATCAATAAAAAAAAAATGTATTATTTTAATTTAAATACAATTAAATATTTGTACAAGGGTACAGTGCCGAGTCTTCTCAGCTAGTGTAAATAATCTAAAATAAGTTGTAATGTATTGTGTAAAAAAAGAAAATTATAATAATAAATAATATACAGTTATGTGTGGTTACTGACTGATGATACATTTTTTACTCGTAATAAATATATGAATAACAAATTTGTAAAGTTTTTTTTTTTTAATCATACTTAACTTATACTGATAATTGTGCAACTAATAGTTTTATAAATTACATTAAACATATTTTAATCAATTTCCCCTTATTTAAAAAAAAAAAAACAAGATTACCTGCAAATATTTAAAAATCTCAGAATCGGCTTCATAATATTATATTATTATTATAATTTATTTTTTCTTATTGTATGATTAACTTTTTTGTATATCCTAATTGAATTGTATTAGGCATTATAGATAATTATTTTAATTATAATTACCGCATTCGTTTTACATATTATTTAGGCACCATTATCTCTCTCCTTCATGTTTTCCAATTTGCATTTACTGTTTGGTGACATAGGCATTTCAAGTAAGCAAATTAATCTTATTGTATTTATATTAACACGTTGACAAAATTGAGAAATATTACTATGCCATGTTTATTGGTAAGTAAAATTAACTTGTAGAATTTAATTAATGCAAACATTTCATTTTTATCAATAATCAAAGATATTACAATTAGTTAGAAAAATGTGTCCTGAAATAAAATTGGAGCATTTAAATACAACATGCATTACACATTGTCTGTTATTAAAACATTTGATGTTTATATAATTGAGAATTAATATAGTAGGTATGTCCCAATAACATGGACTTATTAATCAATTGCCTGATGCAGAAAATGTTTCAAAACATTTTGGGTAAAATATTAATAATATTGTAAAATCAATTTGGTCACAAGAACCATTTTTTTAGCTGTTCACATAATAATAAACTTAACTATGTTTTATTAATTTACGAGTAACGGTTGAATTGTATACGATGTAATAATACACTACTCCTAGGCCTTACCACAATTAAACGTTTTCATTTTTTGAACAATTACAATCGGATAATAATACATATTTAACATGACAAAATTAAAATTAAAAATGGTATTGTTTTTATACTTCATTCATTAATAGAGTTAGACTATAGATATTATTTTTCAATCGTAATGGGAACCACTGTATAAAGATATAAGTAATTTGTTTAATATTTATTGGTTAAAATCATTAGATCAATGTACCCTACAAAGTACAGCTCTATGAAATATTTGTATGGCCTGTTATCAGTTAATATTAAATATCCAAGTTCTAAAAAAAATGCCAAAGCAAAGTTAAGTTACCTACTATATCATAGCTAGACTTTTTTTTGGAAAGGGAGTCAATTAAGGACTAAAATATAGCATATATTTTACAATAGTCTTGAGTTTGCATGCTTACTCACTTCAATTATATCACTATAAATCTAAAAAAAAATTTGGGACATGTGGACATAATGCCCTCTTGTTACAGCACTGAAAAACTAAATAAAAAATTCGGAAACATAAAAACAATTTTGTTTTGGATATATAATGAAAAAACTTTTAGCTAATTTTTTGTAGTCGGTGGTTATATTATATATTTATATTTTGTTACTTTTTTAATCAAATTTAAATATTCTTTTTTTAAATATCATGTAAATTTTTAGGTCATTAATTTATTATTTAATGTCTTAAAAATATTGCTTACATAATATTGTTTAAATGTTATGCAAATATTTTTAAAAAAATGTACAATATTAATAAAATATTTGTAAGACATTTCATGTCTAACCAAAATGCGATAATGAAATATTTAAAATTATTTATAAACAATTTTTAAGTCTTTTCCAACTGTTTACCTTATAAACAAGTAATTAAGAGGATGTCAGCGCAGCCCATTTTAAGGAGTAAAGTATAGGCAATCTTTTACAAAATCTTAACTTAAAGGTTAAACTGTGATGTGTGAATTATTAGTTCAGGAGTTAAGACTTTTTTTGGTAGGTAAATTGTTTTTGGACTATAGCAGCCTCCGCGACAACGATTCAAAAAAAATAATCTAGTAGGTATTTTTGCATTGATATCAACTGAGAGCCACTAATTTTCAATTAAAGTAAACATGTTTTAGTGCCGGTAAATCGCTGCGCTGACATCCTTATTCCTCTTAAGTGATAAGATAATGAAGAAAGTTTACAAAGTTAAAAAAAAATATTGGTAATTTGTATATTTGTATAATTTAAATTTATAAACATTCTTAAAACGTATAGAAGTAAAAAATAATAATCCCTATAATATATACATACACAATTTCTTAGAATATTTATCACCACGGCGTCGTTGCAATTTTATACACAAAATATTATGTACACTTATAATTTGTATTCCTGTATTATGGTTGTTTGATTTAAATTAAATATACCCGACCCATTAAGATCATATTATATTAAATATACTGTACACTCGCGTTCAAAAATCAATCAGTCAAGCTCCAACGATTTGAATGAAGTCATCATTGACTTCTTGCTGCTCTTTTTTGGCCTCTTTGACTCGTCTACTTTGTATTGATAGTCCTTCTCGAATTGCGGTTTTAGCAATTTCATCCATTCAATGAAATGAACTATAAGCAAAATAATAAATTCAATTTAGTAAGTATACTTTTATTCAGCAAATGTATTCTATAGTCCTTAATTAACTTATGTTTATAAACATATGTGATCATATAGATTGTTAGGTAGGTACCTACTATCAATCTATATATGCACCTTATGAATATTTTGTATTTACTACTTGATAACACTGAATCGCTTCAAAATGGCATAATCGAAGCGAATGAAGTAGGTAGTTAACTGACGAGCAACACGGCAACACATTATTTTCTAATAAATGCGCTTTATCATAGGCAGGTTAGGCCTCTGACGAAAAATAAATTACAGTTAAAAAAATTATAGCCCTATATAGAAGTTAAAAAATTGTGTTTAACTGTCATCCTGTATAATGTAACTTTTAGCAATTTTCATAAAGGTGTATGTTTATTTTTTTAAATAATGAACTATTTACACTGGTGTATATTGTGTAGTAGGTAGTTGGTGAAAATCTAGTACTTGGTAAGAACTTGACAATGAAGAACCGAGTACGTATTCCTTATACCCATAATTAAAACATTTAAGAGTGATAACTGATCGCACCCATATTATATTATTATGTTGTGCATAATGTACAATATTATATATTATAATAGTTTTTTTTTTGTTTATATATTTTGAAAATTGTAAAATGCGATTGAAATTAATATCCTAAGTTTTCCGAGTCCGCCGAGTTTGAATTTACCATTTGTTATCAGTTTTAAAATTTAACTCTTATGTAGGGAGAAGGGCTTTTTCATTTTTTTTTAACGCACGATGCATATACTAATTAATGCGTTTTTGGGGTTGTTGAGTTCTAATTTGGTATCAATTTTGAAATTATTTTTGAAGGGTTGAGGGTGTTGTTTTATATATTTCATAAAATCATACATTTTTTTTCTAGTTAAACGAATTATTTACAAAAAAAAAATGTAATATCCATATTACATAGGCCTAATCTTTGTAGAGCACCTTGTATGTTACCATTTGTTTCATAAGTTAATAAAGCTATGAAAAGTATAAAACAAAATCAATATTTGTGTAATTTAATAATATATAGTATAGTGTATACCTAAATATATAAAATGTCAAACAAAACAAATATTTATAAAAACTGTAATTTTTTTATATGATTCTTTTTTGGACGTTTAAAAGTAGTAGTAACATCTGAAAGTAATTAGGAAAATTTATCGAATTTGTTGATTTACAGGTGTTTAAATTAATGATTTAATTAATACCATCGAATCGGCTACTACTCTTTCTTATCTAGGCTTAGCTGAACTTTATCCTTAACGGAGTATAAGAATATGTATAGCTAAGCGTCTTCGACACTGTTTCTAAACATTCTCAATTCGCACGGGTTTTGCAATATTATTTTTCATTCAAAAATTATTGTGATTTACTGTGTACCTACCTAATTTGAAATACTAAGGTCAGGTGATACATACAAACAAACAAAAAACTAAAGATTTCGAAACTATATAGACTGTCTCGGAGGACATTTTAAGTTTTAACCTTTTTACCCTGGCAAGTTTTTCTATACAAACTTAGGCCTATAATATTATCAAAATACTGTACAAGTGCAAATGGGTGGATCGTGACGGAGTAAACGACAGGCTCAAATGGTGTAACCACATAACGAGTAACGTACATTATCGTGCACTTATCTTGCGCCCTTCACTCTTTGGATTGCGCTTCATCCGCCCAGTAAACACACGATTTTACTTATTATTATAATTATTTAGATATATATATATATATATATATATATATATATTATACATATTGTATGTTTTATCGTATATAATTAGACAGTGGCACGTACCGTGAGTCTTGTCGATGGATTGCGCCATACCGCCGTAGTCCTCGAATAAACACTCTTTCGGTACTGTATTGTAAACTTTTTCTAGATCACTCTCAGGGTAAAAATGCACCTGAAAATACAAGACACAGTTGAAGTGAGTTTTTCTTGTGTGTAGTCCATAGTCCAAACTCGATTTATAAACACTGGAGTAATATTTATATTAATGTTATGTTTTAATCAGATAAAGACAAAAAGTTTTTAAGTCTTTTCAGTTTTCGCTAATTGTTAAAACAGAAGTATTTTAACAACCAATCGTTAGCTAACGTATGTCATTGTCGTCGAAATTAAAGTTTGAAGTACCGTCGCAAAGTGTTAACTAAGTCAAATGCTCATCGGTCCGACTTGGGCTTGTTGACAATTTAAAACAAGTATTTCAACAAAAAAAACATTGACCTCGATTGGAAATCAAAGAACAATTTTCCCCTTTTTAAGATCAATATTGATTTACAAATAATACGGTACAAGGATTTAGCTACTATGTTGGTATACCCAATGTTGTTTATATTCAAAAATGACTAATGTCACCAAATTTCATTCTTCGCCCTGTAATATCTTCTATGTAACCATCTACCAGTCTAAACATTGTGGAGTATATCTGAATTGAATTATATTTCCTCTACTCTCTTAGGTAGACAATATAGTCTTCTAGCACTGTATGTATTATTGTCTACATACCCACTCTTAGGAGTCGAAAAAAGTTTTTATAGCGGCATAGTGCAATGTAAATTTTTTAAGTTTATTGGAAATTTTGCTTATAAAAATTCTGCATTATACTAAGATTTAAAAATTATTATATTATTATTATGCAGTAACCAATTAAAATTTGAACCTACTAGGTCGAGTCCAGTTAGGTTAAATAAAAAAATAAATGTACCTATTCTTATTCCGAGAGATGTTAATTTACTTTTATTAAGTGTAAAAAAATTGTATGCGATTTTAAAACCAATAAAATAAATTATCAACCTCGTTTACATATTTTTAGTTATTTAGTATTGCATAAAATGCAAATTATTTTATAAATAATTTATGTTTAATAAAAAGCAACTAACTATTTCTGTGGTAATTATTTAAGTTTTATTTAAAACACGAGTATGTCAACTCAGCGGTTTGGCTGTAAATGACAAAAGAACCTAGTCCACGAGAAAGAACCATAGTTCCGAGTTCGAGCTGATAACTCGAGTTATAAAGCTGAAAGTGTCAAAATAGATATCAATTCGTCGTTTATAAGTAGTACCTACTACTATTATACTACTATATCATTATCTTGGTTCAAAGGGATCTAGTATAAAATAAGCCAATATAAGTTAACTTTTAGATATCGACAAGGAACACAGTATCACGTTCGTGGTCGTATGAGTATTTGGTATTTTTACAATGCCATGTTTGTATAAGATTCCTGTAAGTTTGTAAGCAGAGCCAGGACAAGAGGTAGCAAGCTGGTTAATGCCAAGGCCAACAACTATTGAATAAGTAAGGAGAACGAAAATTTGACAAACTAATTAAATGTATTATTCGACACTATCATTTTATTCAAGAGCTTAGCCCGGCCCTGTTTGTAAGTCAGTCGAATATACAAATATCGATTTACCATACTAATCAACTCCTTCTTCATGAGAGGTTTGATGAGCATCATGACCTTATCGATAATAGACTGAGTGTTGACGACGTGGATACCCTTCAAACGCACCGGCAATCCTTCCTGTAAACAAGATAAACATTTTAAGACCTAAGAATTAACTACCTACTGCATATTATCAACGGAATGGTTATATCATTAAGTACATTATAATGTATTTATGTTTATTATCCACACAATCAAAAAGGCAAAAAGTAGAGAGATGCGAACATTCTGGACCCAAAACAAAACACTAATTTCAAGTGACAATGTAATAAATACTACAAGCGGGTTGTAACAATCGACATAATAAAATACAAACTTACAATGCATGACAGCAAAACGTTCAATGTTAGCAATTAGTATTGTTTAGGCAAAAAACTTGTTTTGTTTTTGTTCAACAATAGTAAAAAATATTAATGTTGTTTTTACAATGAGTAAATAGTTGAACATAGAACATGTACTTTGGTGTGAACAAATTAAGCTGCTTAATAAAAGTTGTTTGTTGTAACACTTGCCTTGGCGAATAGAATACAGGTATATTTTTTTTTCTTCAATTACTCAACATCAGAAGAAAGTATAATCACAAAAACTTGTTGGTATTTCGTAAAAATAGAAACAGTCATCTACAGTAAAAACCAATTGCCAATTGCAAAATGTTAAAGATGCGGTTATTAAGTTACTTAATAATAACTATGATTGTGACCAATAAGTAATAATTATTATTTTACTGTTTTTGCTCGAGAGACAAGGTCGTCATCTTTTTTTGGTTGTTAAAATATACAAATTACCATATTGCAAAATGAACAGACGATCCAATATAATAATTAACTCAAAATGGCAGTAGCCATTATTAAGTGGTAATATTTAAATTTTAGATAAAATACCTATCCAAAAATCCCGAATTTCAATTATATTATGGATGCTACCGTTATCAAAAGGTTAAATAAAATATATAAAATAATTATCATGAAGTTCTAACACTTGGTCGAACAAAACTATTGACTCAATAAACCGTTAGTCGGCAATACTAACAATTTTGTGCACCACTTCTACGGTATTATCGACCGACAACTTATTATCAATAGCTTTTTTTAATCATTAAAATAAAAATTGTATAAGTATATTTATTGCGAGCTCAGAGCTGTACTATCTATAAGTATGACAATTTGAGCGATTTTCCACTATTTAGTATTTGGACGTGAAATTGGATTCGCAAAAGCAAAAATCGTCGCCGTATCAGCTAATTTATTTTTATTTTTTTAGCCTTAATTCTTGAATGTTTTTATTTGTAAACGTCTCGAGTTACACTTCTCGTCGACCTTGGACCCATAGTATGTATGTTTCTATGTGACCCATTCCCAAAGCGATCCGAATGCGTCAATCGTTTTTTTAATAAATAATATTATAAGTTATAACAGTCCACGTGCCAAAAATGTATCAACTATATCGAACATTCAACAAGACAACTGTATATTGTTTTTGAACTTAACAAAAGATATGTAAAGTAAACATTTAATATCACGTACACGGTACAATAGCCATCAATAGGATACCAATGTCCAATATAGTGATTAGTAACTATAGAAACAAGCCCAACATGATAATGTATACAACATAAAAAAAAATGTATGCGTGACGGCTTACAAAATATAAAAATTGAATTCAAATATTTTAAAGCACTTTCGCGATAAATGTACAGTTTTAGTTCTACACACCGGTTAGGTTAGGTAATTTTGCATCAGCTATACGATTTCGCAACTTATCGAAAAACCCATAATTGTCGATAGAATAGTGAAGACATCTTAAAAGGCCTCTAAAAACAAATATTCTTTGCGTATGGTTGAAATATTGCATATAGTGGCAACTGGTAATAATTGTTTGTACAAATTTATTTCATAGAAAAGTCGAAAAAACGGAAAATGATCTTACTTTTACACATAATTATTTCATCTATTTTATTTTGATTACTGTGGTAGTTTTTGTCGTTTTTCAACTTTTCTGTATACATTATTTTAATATAGTGTTGCCATTTACTTGTATGAACGTGAAGAACTTCCTCAAAGACGATATGCTGAGTCTAGTGAGATGGCCTAACCTAACTCCTCGCATGTCGAATAGGATTATATACCCGGGACACGTGCCTTCCACTTTGAAGCAAGCTTCCATGGCCATGATCAACAGTTTCACTCCGTCGTTGAACACATATTTGCTGGCTTCGAATAACTGCAGTTTGTGGTAAATTATTTGATAACCTTCCGGGGTTTGTGTAGGAAGGCATCCGTAATGTCTGAAAAAAATTCAATAAACAAACAGACTTAAAAAAAAATTCTCGATAAATAAATCAGAATACTTAAAAATTACTCCTTTTATCAGTCTAATTCACTGTACATTAAAGTTGATTATAATTTAATGTATGTATGTATGTCTATGTATGTACTGGTCTATTGATTATTGTTAGTGTTGAGTGTATTTTTAATCTATTTTGTTTAAACCCATTTCGATTTTCGATATAATAGTACCATATACTTATAAACACCTGGTAAAACGTGAGACGTAGACGTAGTATGTCAATACTAACGAACGGCATATTTTATCCTATTGAAATGAAGTGTAATCGGTCGGTCTAAAGTAGAATATACTCGGCTTCGGCTTTCGCCATGTCCAAGTGCACATGATCAATTAACTACCCATCAATGATCAACCAGTATATTAAGATTGTAAATGTATCGTGAAATATATAATAGATTGTCCAGTTGATTCGAGCTGGATTTAAGATCTACGTAATGATTTAAAAATGTGTTATCACCTGCACCCATATTATAGGCACACCATCGCCACCAATCACGTGATGATACACAATTTGTTTTTTTACCTATAGCCAATAGGTAGCTTTTAATAGGCTTGTTCATGCTAGTTTAAAATAGGTTAAAAACCGTGGCTCATAATAATATAAGTACTCTTATCGGCGGTATCAGTCATCAGAACTGTATAATCATTTATTAGAATCATTAGAATCTGTGATGTTTGGGTAGAAAGATACAAGTCCAAATTATTATTTTAAGACTTAAGTGTTAATTTCTTTAGAAAAAAAACATCCTCGATGTTTTTGGCTAAAATCAGTTAACTTAAACAAGCTTGATTATTTACGAAGGGTATAGATAAACGCTATAACATACAAAACAAAGTTCAAAAGGATACTAACTCAATTCTGTTCAAGTATTACAGAATTATGGTTAACAATATTATAATATCCGTTTTAAACAAAAGTTGTCCATTGGAACATTATTAAAACAATATAGTTGTATAATATTATTTCTCTAATATAATTTGTTTTTAATACTTAGGGAGTCCCATGGCTTAATTTTAAAGGCTCCCGTTTTACAGAATTCCTGATGTGGTTCTGCACACGACACTATAAGCAGTGTCCATCTTCCGTCAGGGGAGACCGAAACTGAGTTTCCACATAACATTTTTTAGCTTTTGTTTTTTTTTTTTTCATTTAAAGACAGCGCCTTGGCGTGATAGCCATACATCTCTGTCATTTTTAGGGCTCATTTTTAGCTACTATTAATAATAATTATAAAGCCGGGTCCACACAGAGGGTCCAAACTCAACTATAAAAAACAAAACTGTAAAAAAACATTTGTCCAGACTGAAATGACAAAAAACCTCAACAAATCATGAACAAAAATTTAAATACTATGTTTGTGTTGGGTTTTTTTTTCATCTATCCATTCTGAAAAGATCGTTTTAAAAATGTGCTTTTTATACTTTTATACTAGTTATCCATTCACAGTCGTTTAGTCTGCTTTCGAAGTGCGATCTTTTCAGTTCTTGGTGCGTTCGTTTTTATTTGAATATTAAACTTTTTAAAAAATTAAAATATTAATGTGGAAACTGAAAAGAGCTATCGAAGATGAGGAAGATATACTAATGTTGGGTGCTGGATATATTTATTTAAATGTTCAAAATAAATAAAATAAAAATAAAAGATGTTTTTGGGTAAGACGAACGTTACAAAAAAGAAACGTAAATGAATCAATGAACTTTTTAAAAGATTTACAGGATGATGACATTGGTATAATTTAAACAAGTTTATAATATAACTTGTTTTTATTTTTTAACACATTATTATTTATATTACATTTAACAATTAATATTTAAACACAATTTTGTGTCCACACCGAGCTATAGTGTTCACGAAAAGTAAAAACAAAACAAAAACATCTATAAAATTTCCCACCACGAACGTAACACGGTTTTTTGTTCTTAAAAAACAGAACATTTTGTTGAAAAAAACAAAATTGTTTGGAAATTGTCGAAAAACATCGTGTTTTTGTTTTGTTTTAATCTTATTAGCTCTGTGTGGACCCGGCATAAGTATGGACATTTTTATCTGAATTACCAAGTGTATCGTGTTTTTTATCATTCTTGTAAGCCACACAATCTATAGTTATTTTGATGGGTTTATTATAAAGTTATTAGTCATTACGACTTATAGTCTATATTTACCGTCATAATTATTAATACTGTCAAATTAATAAATTCCAACGGTTTTTTTCTAAAGCTATTGTGTTAAAAAAAAATAATTGGTAATTTTTTGTAGTTGTTGCAGAAGCCAATAATCACTTATAGCTAATGTCCAATGATTATTTCCTCCTCCTGACGAAAATACAATACACATTTTAAGGCGAAGCTAAAATTTGATTTGTTTGAAAAATATTGAAATTACATACTTACAGGGTTTATTATGCCTACAGTGGTCAAAATGAAAACAATTATTGGTATTTTAATCTGTTTACAGAAAATCTATAGATGTCGATGAATTCAAATAATAAATTCTGTATTAAAGATTTAAAGACAAAGAGCAAACGGCAAGAAAAGGTTTGCGACCTTTTTACTATTCAGAATATTTGTAGGTACTTCAATAAAAAAATAGAACGTTATTTCCTGTTGCCCTTTCTCAGTGCCCTTGAATAAAATTTTACACTCGATAGACGACAACAAACGGTACTGTAAAAATTACTATGGTCTTATAATATGTAATATGTATATTGTGCGTTATGTTTCTTTTTACTCTAAATTTGTTTAATAGAGATTTCGATTTATTAGGATTTTTAAGACCTACACGGAGTGGTACAAAATATCATTGGTTTTGAGTCCATGCAAACTGGCAAAATGAGGATCTTTTGTTATCAGTTAAAACCACCAACAGTAAAGGTCTTCCAGTATTAGGTGAAATCAATAGGTAATGCAGTTAAGCTTACCTAAACCATAAATTTAACAATATATTATACTTACAATAATTAAATAAAATACAAACATTGTTGGTAATTCCCATGACTTAAATATGCTAAGCTATTGCGTACCCTACTTTATTATACTATCAATTCACAAAATGGTAGCGTAAGGGTACATCGTTGTTTTTTGATAAATTAATACAGAAATCATTAATAAAATAAATTAATTTGATTAGTTAACCCTTATGTTGTCATTTTATTTCTATTATTATAGAATATGTTGACTGAGAGGGGGTAGAGATGCAATAACCTAGTATATTTAAGCCATGGTATTCCCTATTTAAACTAACCTTAATAGGATTATTTGAAACACTCAAAACTCAAAGTAGACAGCGCTCTTAGTTTGCTAAATGAAAAATTGATTGATTTTTATTTTTTTGAGGAAAACAAAATTTAAAAACAATTGAAAAATGTATTTTGTTATAAAAAAAAATTTTCTGTGAATTAACAGGTCATGGTAAATGCGTATTTCGTAGGCACATTGCGGCATGCGGTATAGCCTATGCTTATAATATAGCACCAGGTATACCAAACCTGTCTTTGAAGCACCAACTAGAATAGCGGAATGATAATGATTATAATGCTCTAAATTATATAGTATATTATATTACTAATTACTAGAAGAAAGTAGAAACCCGTTTGGCCGAATAACGTCATACTTGCGATACCTTTGTGTGGCTCGACGACTTAAGCAACAATATGATAATTATTACAAGTGTACTCAAGTATAATATAAATAGGATATAGACGGATTGGCTGACGACAGCTTTAGCCTATAGGGTATGAAATTGAAACAATGGACAACACGGGTCCAATCGATTATAACATGTTTTTGCAAAAAATGTACACCGACCACTGACTAGTTATATTCTGACTATTATGTTTTTTATAATGTTGAGTCGATTACTCACAAAACTTTGAGGGCTTGGACGAGTTCAGGCCTGCTGATATCTCTGTTATCGAAAAATTCTGGAGCATCGGTCTTCAGTGTGTAGAACATGTCAATACAACTTTTGGTCTGCTCCAATTTAAAATAGCAACTGTGGTTAAACAATATAAGCATTTCCTCTGCAAAAAATAACAAAAATTTATTGTAGATTTCACATTATAATAGTTTTTAATTTATAAATGTAAAATCATCTTTAAAAACTTTTTTTTTTTAATATACTATGACATGTATTAATTATTTAAATAAATATTTTGACTTTTGAGTATAAATTATGCAACAGTTAATCTGGATCATTTTAGGGCCATGCTCACGTTAGGTCGAGGGGTTTTATTCATTCTTATGATTCTAAAAAAATGTATTGTTGAGATTTAACCTACATACGATTAGAGAAAATAATAAGAGTAATTTAATGTCAATAGTAAAACATCACAAGAACAAAACTGCATCACAAATTGTTTGTTGTTTAACCTTAAATTGGTCACCTTGAATTATTGTACCTAACTCAATAATGCTATGTACAGAGTGGAATAATCATCCTAGGACAACACTATAATATTATAATAGAATTTACCAAACCCATAATATTAACCTACTTACCTATCAATCATATTTAAATGACACATGCTTTAAGTATTTTTGTAATTAAAAATTATAAGATATAAGCTCAACATTAAGAGGTTGTAGGCAACTTTTTCAAAATCTTAATTTAAAGATTAAACTGTGATGTGAAATTATTAGTTAAGTCAATAAGACTCTTTTGATAAAGAAATAAAATAATAGAATATTTAAATAAGCCCTTAACCACATAAATAATACTCAGTAGCGTTTACATATTTCGACATCAATTTTATTATTTTTATCATAAAAACTTGAACTATGCTACTCGCATATACAAAAGTCTAAATGTTAACTATACCATATAAAATTATAGTTAACTTCAACGACTAGTCAACGTTTTGACTTGAAAAGGTAATAAAAAGCATTGACCATTTAGACTAAAAATTATGAACATTACCGAAAATATAGACATTCTAGGACGTTTAACATGATATTATGATATTAATTATAACCAGCAAAAAACAACTATTATACTTAATACTACTAATTAGTAATAATGTTTTATTATGGCTCATCATTAAAAAAAAGTATTATACGTATAAATACTAGAAATATGACAGTAATCTAGTTTTGTACACGGTATTCGATCAAATAGTTCAAATTAATATGCTACGTCGTGGTGACCATAAGATTCTACTACAATATGCCAGTTGATCAATTCATCTATTCGTGGGTTAGGTTAGGTTAGGTTAGGTTAGGCTAGGTCCATTAACTATACTGTACGTTAAATAGTTAACGTTTATTTTAATAAATTTACATATTAATAGCAACGCTAGTAGTTTAATAGTATAAACATTTTAAAATTTAATAGTCATTATAGATTTTTAGAAATACACAACATTTTTTTCGATAAAATCATATATAGTAATATATACATACATATATATATATATATTATAATAAACTATGATTTAGATTTAGAATATAACAATCAGAAATATGTACTAATAAAATATATTAAACACATCTAATATATCGATACCTTAGAGCACACAAGGGATATGTGCATTTTTTTCAAAATCGTGATTTTGGTTATCCCTGAATTTGTGATAAAAAACTGAATTGAATGAACACCAGTAATATGTCCAAAGAGCATAAATAATTGTTCAACTACAAATAATCGTAAAATTCTATGTCCATTGTGGATTTTTTTTTTAAGAGCTTAATAGTTAAACTCATACCTCAAAAATTATATGAAGTAGACACATAGCACTTGTGTGCATTAAGGTAGCGATATGCTAATATGCTATAGTAAATATTAACCACTCCATCCTGTGACATTTGTGGCCATATTACCAAATATTATGTAATCATACTATATTTACGTAGTTATATGTTTTTTGTATGTGTTAGTTTTGTTATCAAACAAGCGTCAAAACAAATCAAACGCATCATATAAACTCTTTTTTGTATAAACAAAAGTTTGTTTGTATAATTTAAACGTGCAGAGATCTTTTGCAATTTTCACAGATCCACTAGATATCATAAGAGCAAATTATTTCCTACTTCACAGCCATGACACAGCCGCTGAGTAATTAAACAAACAAGAATTTATTTTTTTAAACATTCAATTTCAAAATATTGAACAAATAAATGAAACAAAAAAACTTAACACAATAATATTTTTAAAGCAAACAAAAACAAACGTGTTACAATTGTTTTTGTTTGCTTTAAAATTAAAAAAAAAAAGTTGTAAATTTAGGTATAAACAGGATGTCTTAAGAGGATTTCTTCTAGGGAAAGGAGGCATATTATGATGTACTAGTTACTACTATGATATAGATACCTATATTATAATAATCGGTAAATAATCTATTTTGTAGCAAAAGTGATAAATCACAGATGACCTTTACTGGTGTTATTAGCTACGTTGACCGTTGATTATTCTAGGGTTAGTGACCACCTCTATGGTTCCAATCTAATTTAACATTTGAATCATCATACATAACAGGCAAGATATTATATATTTTTAACGATCTACAAAAGAACTTAGATAGAAGATACCTAGAGTTAAAAAAAACGCTATGTGCTTATTGTATTTTTTATAACTTAATATATTATAGCAACATATAGGTAAAATTTGATGAAAAATATGTTCTGTACCTTTAAGGAAAATTATTAATATCTACGCATAATGCATAGTGAATATAGGATAATGAATATGTTATGACTACTCTATTTTTAGAAAGAATGGAGGGTAAAAATAATACTTCTTTGGTTCACTAAGAAAATATGAATTAGGCTCTTTACACACTAGTGTAATCAATGTTTACACACTTAAAACAAACATTAAAAAAGGCTAAATTATCATTAACAATGTTTAGAACATGCAACATCAGTGTTATAACATTAGTAGTTGCTTATTACCAAAAACATATAAGATCTACATTGAGGTTTAACCCAACGTAATGTCTGTGACTAGCACAGGCTTTCTATTGCTATGGTAATAAACACCTTGTAATAAATAGAAAACAAGCCATTGTATAGTGCTATTAACGGTTGTGTGCTAATCAACGCCGTCCCAAATTACCCTTAAAGTCCCAAGTAACCCGATTTTACCGGTACTGAAATAATTTATCTTAATATAGAGAATGCCTCGCATAAGCTTAAAGATAATTAAACAATAAAATGTAAGATACAAAAATTATTTTATCTTTAGTCTATCCACAACAAGAAATTGAAAATATCAATAGGTACATAAACATTAACTTTGTTTTGTAGATGTGTATTTTTTTTTGGAATAATAATTTTAATATATATCAATATAAATGTTTCAAAACACTTTTTTAAAGTAGTCCAGATCGTAGGTGTTATTAGCTTTTCAGGAGTTTTAGATTCTTTTAAAGATGGCAAGTTTATTTTCACGTTTCTGTTAAGTATTAGTTTTTAATGATTGAACATAAGAAATATAGCATCTATGAGAGTATAGCATAAATGGTCTAAATTCTCTAGCTCACATATTTTTTGTTAATTAAGCGATGTTTAGGCAAACTTTCGAAAATTTGGGGGAAATGGGCCTAAAGGTAAGCCACTAAAATCGACAAAATTTAGAATATTGTTTGTATATTTTCTTAAATGTTCTTATACGGATCGGCAATAATATACAGTTTTTGAAATATTTGTGTACTTAGGACACAAGAAAACTACAACATAATAGTTCAACCATTAAGACAATGAATCACGCATTACTAACTACCTGTCGTACTAACTACAAAATGCTACGCTATCCACAATTATTGATAAAGGTATAGAGCCTGGGCAGTTAGATTAGACTAAATTAGGAAGTATATAGTGTTTTATACTTTATAACACTATATGAACTCTACGGCTATGTTTTTATTTATAAAAAAATGTATCTATCAAAAATATAACATTGGTTTTTTTTCATTATCCATGACTTTAGTTTATGGGTTTATTAAACAGGTGAGTTACACTACTTACTCACGCGGTGAAACATGTTTGCTCTGCATAACCGTATAAACGGGTACTAATTTACAAATGTATATGTCGTTTAAAAAAAAATAAGAAGACAGATTATGTTTTACCTCTCTTTCTTAAATTTTTATGACTCTTATGGAGCAAAATGTAAAAATGTATTAGCATTTAGTATTAACAGTTGACGCGATAAGAACTTCTGAGGCGCATAGAACCAAAAAAACCTTAACCCACAAATTTTCAAATCATTTTTTTTTAGCAATACACAATTTTATACGAGTTTTTAAAGACAGACCAACCTATCTTTCAAAAATGTTGTGGTCAATAGATAGACACGCGTATTTAAACTTCAAGAATAATACTAAGTCATTTTGTTTTTAAGCAACAAAAATCCCCAACACATTTGTGGGTTAAGCCGTTTTGATCTAGTGAATTACTTGAAAATTATAACAATATCCAGCTGTCTTCATAGCTATCCTTAAGTGTTGATCACCTGTAACCTGCATTATTTTCATTAGTGAAAACTAAAAAGTCAAGTAACAATCACTGTTTTTGCCGAACGAATATCATCATCTTTGATGGCTTACTACGTCTGAATGCGACTGTAGCTGTTCGACACACACAAACAAAATTACCATATTATCAAGGTGAGGTATAAGTTTATTAAATGTGAAAAATCTTTAAATTATGTTGTTTTATATTTTATTCATGTTTTTATTTTAGCTTAAATTATACTACTTTCGTCCGTTCTTCGAAACGTTATTTGTGTCTGGTCATCGTTTCGCTCAGGAAATTACGACACGACAACAATCAAAACAACAAATGTCATGTCAACAGTTTGGAATAAAAAATGTCCTTTAAAAAAAAAAATTGTACTCGCAATTGTATTCGTATTCAGACGACCCAAAATTGTTTCCTTAAGTTCCATCAAGGTTAAACCATCCACTGATAAATTATCTTTTATTTTTATAAAGGTACAGGTACTTATTAAGTACATGTTTTTTGTATAATACACGACACGTTGCGCTTGGTTCAGCACAACTTCTACCGTGCGCATCAATTCGCTAATTGTTCTAAAATTACAAGTAAGTGTCCGGAAAAAGAGGATGCAAACCATTTTATGTCATGCGTGAATAAACAAACAAAAAACAGTAATTACCGTGAAACCTAGGGTAAAGATAGACAATTTAAATGGCATACATAGGATTATTATGTATTACGAACGCTAAATCCTAACAAACCATTTTAATCGGGTTGACGAATGACAAATATAAACAGTTAAGCTCAACACTAGACATTAACATGCCATTTCTGCTAAGAGACCTCTACTCGAGATGTTCAATTTTAGTTGGACGATTTCTTTAATCGAATTTTATTTTTAATGAAAATAGTAAAAAAACTAATTACTTACCGTTATGTAACATCAATTATAAAATACATCTGAAAGGCACAACTACTAGTTGATGTATTAGAAGAGTTTTGTAAAATCGTACTTAAGCGAGAATCGTGAAACAAATTCATTATTTAAGGACAATGTTCAATAATAAGCACAACCAATTGGTTTATGGACAAATTACAATCACGCCACTATTTACATTATGCCTTTAAGTCAACCCGGATGTGAATGATTGAACCGGTCACCTTTTGTATGCATGCGGTATAGTTTCATATTATGATCAACTACAACACAACTCCGCCACACGGGTATAATTTGGCAGACATTAAGTTGACCGTGAAGAGTAAATCGTTACCAAAGTTGTACTTTCCCAACTTCTAGCATAACAGTAATTCATATTGTATATTTATATAATATCATCAAATCATTCGTCTAGTATTTGTAACGTGACGTCGGTTTGGTAATAATTTACAACACTAAATACATTATCGACTTTCTCGTTTCGTGTCAGATGTATGACATGTATTATATTATATTGATACATCTGACACGTTATTAAATTATAATTGTTTTAACACAAGTATCACACTTCATGAATTGCAAGAATTTATGGGTTTAACTTTGTGAACTCAATTTTAAATCAAAATGTTTGCTTTTGTACCGTTAACTATTTTGTCAACAGTTTAGTTGTGGTCACCACAAAAATAAATGGTATTTATAAAAAAATAATAATTTGGTTATATAAAATAAAACTACACTATTAAAATTCGTATTCGTTAAGACTTAATGATTTCTAATTCACATATAAAAACCGATATTAGTCAACCCGCTCTAGTATCGCTCTTAAAGAAGACTGGCACATGCAAGTAATTAAATACTGTGGACTGTAGTCATTACAAGTTATAAATAATAATAAATATAAAAAAAATAGTTCACGATTTATTATATAAATTATAGCCTAATTTGTAATTGAAATTGTAACTACGCCGCGCCCCAGGCAAAAATATAAAATATAATTTTAGTTTCTTTTATTATTATTTTTTTCATAACGAGCAATTACAAATTGAGGATGTCACCATTGCGTCGATACAAAACAATAGAAATAAATATTCATCATCCATAGTTGGAAGTTTGACGTTGATAATCGATTGTAATATAATTAACTATTGTAACTAATTAACTAGCCAAGTTTTAAAGCTCCGATGAACAATAAAGTTTTAATAATTTGTTACACATTAAAAATAAATTTTAAACAATATAATCCTAGTGTACCTACACTTCGACAATCACGAACACTAAAAATAAACTGTCAATAAGGAATTTAACTTCCAAAATTAGAATTAAAAAATTCAGTTTCGGATAATATGCAGAATACCTATAGTGTTGTGTTTGAAACATAATATATTTGAAGGTTAACAATGCATTTTTTACTCTCCTACCAGTATTTGACTAATCTTTTATTTTTCATTACAATTCATAATGTAAGCAACATGAATCAGCTTAAAATGTTATTTGATAAATGGCTACAGATAATGTTTGTGTTAAAATAAATTGCTTAATGTCCTTAATGTAAACAATATATAATATGTGTATATATATATATATTGTTATCTAGTATAAGCCTATTAGATTTGAAAAAAAACAAATTACACAAATAGCCCAATAATTAAGTGTAATTTTCATTGGTATCACATATAGCGGATGATCGACCTTGATGTAAACATGTATGTACTATATACTTGCATGAAATTGAGCTTAAGTGATTTTTGGTAGCGGAAAACATTTAAAAATAAAACAATAACAATTTCCCAGAGTAAATAATTATAACCTTAGTTTCTTTTCATGTTAATAATTATGTTTTACATTTTTTTTTAAATTATGAAGTTATTAAGTGTATGTATACATTTTTTACAAGGTCGGTAAACAGAATAAATGAATGGAATTCGCTCAAGATATCCCATAAAATTAGATTACATGACATATCGTTGATACAATGCAAGATTTTTACTATTATTTTATTACAATAGTCAATAATGAAATGGAATAAAACTAGTTAACTTACCTGGTATGTTTTGTGGAAGATGCGGTTGTGTAGCTATCCAATCTCTGAGAACTTGTATGCTCTCTTTGGTAATTTCTGGATTTTTTTTTAACTCCTCCTGTACCGTAATCGGTATGGTAGATTTTTCTTTGATTTTGATGGACTCTACAACGAAAATTATTTTAAGCCAATATATAGTTATTATGTGAAATGTAATCAAGCATTTTTGAGATATGCATCTTTAATTGAAAACATTTAATTGTACGATATTAGTGCATTACAAAAATAAATAAATAATATTTTTTTTGGTAATATTACTTGTAATAAAAAAAATTGTATTTATATTTGCCCCATTTTTTTTTCAATATTATTCCAACCGACTATAAACAATTAACATAACCTAAATAATTAGGGTAAATCATTTCCAAACCTAAAAAAAAGTATTTTATTTTCAAAATGTTACGTTGTACATAGTATATAGCCTTTAGGTAAATAAAAATGATAGATATCGAAATATTCTGAATAAAAATCGAGCCAACTTAATGACAAACAAATCCTGCTGTATGATATGACATTAAAATCTGAAGTAAAACGAAATAAGACAATTTCTGACGATACAGTCAGAACATATTATTATAGTGATGCCTAAAAAGTAAATACTTATCAAGACTGGTATATTATAAAGGAGAAATTGGAAATAATGTAAACCTGTGAATCTAATGACGTTCAAATGCATCTCAATTTTAATGCTATTATACTGTAATTTATTTATTTTAATATGTACACATTTCATCGTTTACCTCTTAGAGCCATCCCGCCGTTTTCGTCGATCAAAGGCATGCCGGTAACTTATATATAATTAAATGAATAGTAATATTAATATCGAACGAGACGAATCGAGAACTCGGATTGTAACGTTCGAATATGTCCACAGTTAACAGACTGACGGCTGACCCATTGACCATAAGACACCGAATCGCAATGTCCATGTGGATATAATACGTATAATAATAATATGTCAGAGGCACGTTTCTTGCTGTGGCCACCACTATTGCTGTCTAGGAGGGGACGGACAAGCGTTTAGGTAAACATTAGCAGAAAAAGTGGAGACAAGGTCGACGGGTTCGTGTAGTTTAACTTGCGTTGTATGTTGTGTGAATGTGTATACGAAGAAAAACTTGTTTTTTTTTTGTAATATTACTTAACCCATTTGCGAAAAAAAAGCCACTGCGAAAGAAACGCCCGACATGTTTAGAACATACTTGATACTGTTATGATTGAGTTTCACGCGTGTGTATGTATCAAACACGGATCAACATAAATATAAATTGACAATTATCATTGATCTGTGGTATCAATGGATCGAGGTTTTAAAACTGTTCACAGATTTTTCCAGAATATGTCTTACCATAGCCCCATAGGGCATATACCATAGTACCAAGTCATAAGTCGCAGTTCACACAATCATTCATAATCAGATAATCTTATTCATAGTGACCCTGATTATTCTAAAAATTAAAATATTAAATGAGCATTTTAATGAATGGCGAATACTTAATGATTTTTAGCGAACAATAGTTACGTTTTATAATAATTTTACATTTTAACGGAACAGCGATTTAATTTGTTTTATTCCTACTAATTACAGTTAATTTATTCAGTAAATTATTGTGTAATCAGGATTTATATGGGATAATATGTATATACTAAAATGTATCAGGTACCTTAGTACCTAAATAATTATCGATGCCGCAAATATTTGTAATAATATATGATAGAGCGCTCAAGTCCATAATACGCTGTATAAAATGTGCGATCATCAAACATGTGTGTCTTATTAAATTATTGTTGTCTTATTTTAATAAAATACTTCATAATAGTGTACTCAATTGCACGTATGTACTAATTTACGGCTGGACATTAACGGTTTATTAGTTTTAAATTGTTAAAAATTTCCAGCGTGGCTAGTTAATATTTTGTACAATTCATTTAATTCTAAATTTAACTTTTCTATTTCTATGTAGATTAACTAAAATGTTATTACTCTGAATACAAGGACAACTCAAATAATATTGCTCTAATAATAATAATATTTCTTGGGAAATGCTGCATAATAAGCATGTAACTCAACTGGAAGTTTTTTAGTCCAACACATCAAAAGCAAACAAAACCAGTACAGTGGAATTGGGACAAAGTGTGGAGCATATAGAGGCGGGTGAAGTCACAGATTTGTATGAATTATTACAACTAACTGATAAAATCATTTTCAAGTAAACTGTCGATTCACTCACACTACGGTTTAACCTAACCTAACGGTCACTAGCCACGGTCAAAGTGTAATTTCCTCCTTTTTTTTTTTTTTTTTTCCTTAATAAAAAAAAGTTTGGCTACAGATATTTAAGAAAATAGTATAGTACGACATATGTTATAGACCCATTCTAGATCTTCTAGACCTTCAATCTAATTTTCAGATCCTAAGCCTTACAACTTCACCTAAAAAAACAAAATAAATAAAAAGTTTGATCCCTTTCTAGGAGAAAGGGTTATGATATGTTTTTGGTTTGTCAAAGTTTATCGGTAGTTCTAGGTCTAAAAAAAACTCGTTATAAATGTGAACTAATTCGATAATATTTAAAAACGTTACAGACCGTTGTAATTGTAAGTTGAAAAATATATACATTTTTTGGGTGTTTGTAGCAATTTTGAAGGGGTAGAGGTAAATTTTTTAAAAATATTTGGCCCTTTAAGTATTTGTTAATTACGATTTTTAATCTATAGCTTGCCACCAGAAGATATCGGGTCAGTGGCTTAAAATATATCGTGGATCCAGACAAGAAAATTAAAAAAAAAAACACATAATTATCAAAACCATACTTTCTCAACTCCGCATCTAAGTTTAAGTTAAAATGATCATAAAAATACTAAAAATGTCCTATACTTCTATGTTAAATGATATGACATAATATAGTATAATATTAATTAAAACAAATTAAACATGTACACGTTAATAATGATTTACAATATTGAACCAAATTTATCATAATAAACATTTTTATACAATTCCAAGTTTAACGAGTTAACGAGTGATACAAATTACAAAAGCGCGGAAGACAAGGAAGTTAAACTTATACAACAGGTTTCAGGGAGTGGTATGAAAAAATCTAAGGAAAACAACTATCAGTGTAAACAAAACACCATCAGTGTTGAATAAAACATATTTAACATAAATAAAATATATCTCAATAATGTATATTATATAACTTATTATGGTATTTTTAAACTTTTATATTTTGAGTCGACTCCTACACGCTCGTTTTCTATAATATACAGCGTATAACTTATATTTTAACTATAATCAAAACGTTTTTTTCCAGCCTTGAAAAATCTGTGTATAGTACAGTGATTATATACAGCAACAAGATATGATCCAGGCAACCTGTATATAATTAAAATAATATACGACGTATGCAATCAAGCTATAATTAAACAAATAATATTATTGTTTACTATATTAATCTATTAGATATTTTTTTTAATAAAAACCGGTAGGTTTTCATAAACCTCCGCAAAATCTGAAACTTGGTCAGCGGTGAGAAGTAGGGTGAAAACTGGTTTGCGCATATGATCAAATTTTTGCCGATTATAGTTTGAGCAAATTATTATTTTATGTTTTTATTTTAGCTCAGACATTTTGTCCATACATAATCTATCGAGGGTTTCCATTTTCCCCCAAAATAACCTTCATCCGTTATCACTTATCACCATGTCTGTTTCCGCAAAAGCTATACTCCGATTTTTGCCAAAATAAATACAATTTTGGTAATTACAAATTTTTTAATAAGCTTTAAATCTTACAAACAACTACACTTACCTGAAAATTGGATTTTTATTGTTCATAGTTTTGTGCGCCAACGAGTTGTCCTTTAGGTAAATATGAGCAAAGTGGGTGCAGCCAATAGTAGATGGAATGGCAAAAGGTGGGGTTAATGGTATGTAGAACAGGAGAACTTTAAATATAAAATACAATAAAATCGTAGTACGAATAATTATACGAAAATATATTTTTGGTTATAAAATAAATATAAAATTCTTTATTAAAAGTTTAAACATCATTCTACAAAAATTAAAATTAAGCCAGCATGGTAATAAAAATAGCCAGTACATTGCTACTCCAGTCTCCACTGTACTGGGTATAATGGGGACGGAGCATATAAGATCGGGGAGGTCATAGGTTTTCAAAATTAGTAAAACTAAAAATGTAATATATTACATTTTCTGAGCTATAGCTCGGAGGAATTGTGTGTTCAATATGTAAGCATTTTATACAAAAATGACTTCCATCTATTTCATGTCACTTAGTCTCTATCGTTTGCTATTAATTTCGAATCATGAAAAAGTTATACTGGTTCTAAGAACATAATAAACGAGAATTTTTTAAATGACCATTACCTACAGACTATAAAAGCTTTTGGCATGAACTCTCAAGTGTTTAATTTTAAGTTTTAATTTTTGTGTATTTTTAATATATATATTTATACCACATTTTTTCGTCAAACTCAGTAAAAATATCCTATAAAAAATATGTTTTGGCAATTTTTTTATACGTATTTTAATAGTTCCAAAATATCTTTTTAGCTCTGCGGCCTCTGCCTCTGCCTCAAAATTAAAATTCGAAATCGTAGCACTCTACAAACATGTTTAATAATTGTATTGATGAAAACATAAATTTAAAAGCGTCTATTAAAACCGTGAAAGTTTTTCCTATAAAGTTAATTTTAGGTTATTTTGTATTAAAAATTCACTAAAGCTCAGAAAAATAACTGTTAATTAAAATTAACACGTGCATATTAATAATATAAGTACACATTGATTCTTAAACAAATTTACAGCCAAAATCTGCCATAAAAATAATTATAATTATAACTGTGTAGTAGTTTACTGAATTGAAATTTGAAATGATCTAAACATCATTATAAGAGGAATAATTATAATATCTGTCTAAAATGATTTGAACATTGTTTAAAACATTTCAGTTTTAATGATTAAAGTATTACTAAATATTTACTAATTGTAAATGATTTGTAATGATGTTTTATCATTTCAGAATAATAATTAGTAAGTATAACTATTTACTTATGAACAAAATATTAAGTATCGCTTACGTTTGTTAAGTATCTTTTTTAATGCATCAAGATAATATGATCTTATCTTATTTGTTGCAATAACATTTGCGTTCTACTCAAACTCATGCAGAAAAACAAGTTTTGAAATGCATAGTAATAACAATAGTAATAAGAAGGACACCGCTTCGCACTTACTGTTGCTCTGTCACAGTTTCAACTTTCATCCAGTCTTAGTGCATACAAGCGCCCAACAATTGTGATAAAAATTAGTAATTAAACAGGATCTCACTTCTGTCGTAAACCCACCATTTCCATTTCCCTGCGAGATAACGGCGTCAAGTCTACGCTTTTTGGAAATACTGATGAACAATATTATAATTCATAAACGATTGCATGATAATTAAGGCGTGTATGTTATACTCGTCATTTTTGTAATATGTAGGTAAAAATCTGCGCGTGACAAGTTATTTCACAAATTGTATGTAACTTGTGGACCAAATTTCATACACTCACCGAAATGTATTAATAAAACAATTATTATATTCTTCCCGAAGTAAACCACACCGAAACCAGTTTTTAATATTATAATAAATATAAATGTCAGTTTATGATGCATTTTTTCATATAACTTGATAGTGTTGTATAGCCTGTTTGAATGACCATGACTTGGAAATTGTATTATTTAATACATTAAATTTGCAATATCATTTTGAAGTTGGTACATATTGCTCTATAATTCTATCACAATCACCACTTTTTTTGTTGTAACACGTTGATTACCTAGCATAATATTTTATATCCCTATAATATTACTATATTATAATTAGTTTTAACTCTTGGGTACCATAATATAATACAATGCATGTATTGATACTTGACTTCATCAATGGTTTTTTGCATAATTATTTGTTGTGCAAACAAACAGCAGCCGGTATTTTAGAAATAACGTGGTCGTCTTCAGGATAGGTTATATATTATACATATTTTGGTTGTGAAACAATCTATAAATTTTGTTAATGTAAACACAAATAAATAAACTTTGGAGTTGAATTCATAGAGTACCTCATGTACTAGCACCAATTGGATTTTAGTTAAGATAACAAATACAAAATTTATCTATATATATTCATTTTGTTTTTATCACTGGAAATATATACCATTAAGTATTATATTATTGTGTATTACAGTATTGTAATTTAGAATATGTTATGTACTTAATTGTAATTGGGCTCGTTCCCTTGTATAAGTGTTAGTTTATATCATTTAGATCTACATTAAAACACTGATATTATTTTATTTCGTTCTTAACTAAGTGATAAGTACTCAGTGGTAGAGAGGGAGGAGATATGTTTGCGAATACACATCTGCCTTGAAATCCTACATATTTGTCACTGTAGTTACTATAAATAAAAAGTCTATTAGTTGTTATATCTAATGAAATAACATAACGCATACATTTTTCTTGAAACAGATAGTATCTTTATTTTATGTTCGATTTCAATAGTACATAATTATATTAATTATAACTAAGTTCCCACCATTGGTTTTATTTTTTTTCAAACACGAAAATGTTACACTAAACCCTAAATTCAGTATATTTATTAAATATGGCAAGTTACCTTTAGTTAGTATGGTTAATCTAGAAAAAACTTGAGCAAATCATTATGTATGTAACTTATTTAATATGATTACCTTTTTTAAAAGTAATTCTAGTTCATATATGTCTGCTTTATTTTATTACCTCTGAATTTGTTATAAGTGGTTTGGCATGAAAATCAATTATAGGTAGGCATTATATAGAAAAAAACTGTTGATGTTATTCAAGATGAATTCAGTTTCATATACAGCTAGTGAACACCTCATATTACGTAATAAATAAATAGAGGCTAATTAGAATAAAATGATATTAGTCTTTAAAAACATAACCACTCTAGAGTATAATGGCACATCAATTGATAGTTTCATATTTGTATATTAAACAAAACAAAAGGATACAATACAAATTTTAAGCAAAAACATTCAGTTGCAAAATACAATTTTTTTTTTTTTTGACAAGTTAAAGGGATATAATTGTTTAAATTCACTCTGTTCAATTTATAGCACACAAACACACACTATTCATTTTAATCATATTTTTTCGACATACATAAATATATAAATAGTATAATTATAAAAATAGTAGAAAATAAATACAATATGTAATGCAACAAAATAAACCAAAAGGTTTGTTGTATTTCTCTTAAATGAATATATATATATATATAACTGTAATATTTATATAAGAATTATTATTCGGGTGAGACATTAACGGAAGAAAAGTTTACTTTTAGTAGTATATAAAGCTTTAATCTTAGACAGGGTATATAATATATAAATATATAGTATTGTAGCGTGTTAAGTCATAAATAATAGCCAAAATAATAATAATAAAAATACATTAAAATAATGACGAAAACAAATTATACAAAATGTATAAAAATAGATAACAAATTTATATAAAGTATATTATAATTTATATGTACATTATGAAAATTAAAGATTGGAAAACGGTTAGAGAAGGTGCTTTGGTTTTATTTGCTCTTAATACACCACATTTGGGCGTGTCATTATGTGATGCCAACAATTTCCAATAATATATTTTTTTATTATTATTATTAAAACAATTGTTCTTTTTTTTAATTGATGTAGAATTATAAATACTTTTCCATCAGTATCAATAGTCAAATATAAACTCGTAAGTGTTAATTTTTTTTAACTCGAGGGAAGCTTATAATTATTAAAATATAAAATTGGCACTCAGATTATTGCAAAGGGTTAACATACAACAAATTCGCTTAAGCACCCTGTTAGGTAGTTTTTTTTATATAAAAGTTAAAAAATATTATATTCTTATTTTAATTATTTCATTGTTATAATAACAAGTGAATGTAAATAATAATAAAAAATTGTAGTTGTACCATTTGGTAATAAAACACATTAAAGTTTGACTGTAGATGCTTACCACAACAAGTGTACTTTGTTAGCCTTCAAACAATTTGTCTTTACATTTTTATATTATTAGTAAAAATTGTTAAACTTATAAATCATGGCTGTCGTCGTTGTATACAAAGCTTAGTACATAATTATTATATACAATTAGATTTTAAATGCAAAACAAGGCAATTCAAATGTTTATTAAAAAAAAAGTTAAGCAAAAAGAACCAAATTATTAAAGGCAGTTCTAAAAATTATTTTAATATTTTGTAACAATAAAACTGATTTTTTTTTATTAAATGAAAATACACCATATAGTATAATTGTTACAAATTAAAAATAACTATTCTCAGTACTAGTATTAGCACATCTACAGTAATCAAAAAGTATTATAGTTGGCGAATAATTATCTAAATTATTTATGAAAAATAATAACATAACAGTTAATTTTATTGATTCTACACGAATAACTGTTTTTAAGAACTAAAATTTTAGCAAATTTAAGGACCAAGACTGATAAGAGGCATTAGATAAACTAATACAATTATATTTATGGTATTAAATTACAACTATATATTAAATATTAATTCGCACAGACTGAATGTTATTATCACATCTAGTAAGTACTATAAATATTAACTCGTTTCATTCAGCACTAAAATTTGTTTATTGTTAAATTTAAAAATACATTCGTTGTATACTCTAATTGACATTTATTATTAGAGAATTTTTGTTATTATTTACATAATAAAATAATTTATCAACTTTTCTTTAATAATTGGTTTTATAATGCTCAAAAAGACTAGAGATTCTTAGTTTAATTCAGTTTTTTGGAGGCACATATGTAGATTCTTCAGACTTTGTTAATTTCTCTGATGATACATGAAAATTCTTTGCTTAGGAACTATCAGTTTCCTTTGAAATTATTAATTTAATTACCATAGTATGATCTAATTATTAAAAAATAAATAAAGTTAAACAAAATAATTATAGTATATCCAATTTCAAATTGTTAAAAAAAATCAAGTAAAACACTTTTACAATGTATGCCTCCAACTAGCTCTCAAATCTAACAAATACAGTAAAAAAATACAATACTTTTATTTTAATAAAATTACCACTCATTGTTATTGATTTAACAAAAAAAAAACGAAAAACAAAATATTGTGTTGTAGATAAAAAGTGCCGAGAGAATGCATGAATTAATAATACCAAACTCGTACAAAAAAGCGTAAAGAGCTATTAAAAATCAAGGGGAAAAGATGTACTTAATATAATCGATATTGAAATGTATACTAATACATAAACCACACGCTGAAGACTAGAGAAATATAGAATTGAAACCACTTTGAGCATGATAATGTGTGATAAATATTACAAGTTCTCACCAATTTTTAGTCTATGTGAACGAAACAATAATGACATATTATGGGTCTCAAAATAGGTTTTAAAATTAATAATTGTTGATTCTACCGCATACTCAGTCATCAATGTTGGCGTCCAGGTCATCTTCTTTAGATTCGTCATGGATATCCTTGTGGTCATTGTTCTTCGTTGGTCCGTCGCCCGAGTTTCTCCCTTTGTCAGTACAATCCTCAGCTGCCCGAGCTTCCAATGCCCGGATACGATTTTCATGTTTGACAATCATCGCTTTCAGCTTGCGTATCTCTTCTTTGAACTCTTTCACTATATCATCCTAAATTAAAAAAATTGTTTTTCTCTGAACATAACTTATTGTATTTATAATTAAATTTCACTATCGAGGATGGTAGTAATATTAGAAAAAGTATTTTACATTTTTTTTTATTTGAAACTACTGATAATTTTCTAAAAAATGTTATATCCATATGACCAAAATCGTAGAAAATGTGGTATGCTGTGCTGCTTTGCATGCATCTAAGGTTAATAAATAAAGCACTTGGGCAAATTTTGTGTAAATAAATCTGAAAATAAGGATATATTTTTTACATACTGGGATTGATGATGGTTGATGGAATTGAGGTTTTGCTACACCAACTGGTGCCGTAAGGGTATTGTTGTTTGAACTCGTTTTAGAAACACTTTTGTTTGCTGATGGTTTATCCAATATGTTTGGCTTTTTCGCCACTTTCATTTCCGATGCAGTTGGTAATCGGGTCGGCTGATGATAATCCTTTAATGAAATTAAAATTGGCTCAGCATCTTGACCGTTAAACCAATCCTCAGCTTCAATAGCTGGAATATCCCCTATTGTATCTGGATACAGATCTTCTTGAAACAATTCCGACTGCAAATATAATTGGCTTAATAAAATCAAGTATCATGAAAAAAATATAATACTAGAGAATTACTTTTCTGGGAACAGTCATACTGATGACTTGACATAGTCCAGAGTTGTTTAGCCGATAAAATTTTGAAATCTCACAAATCGATACATCACAACCACGTTTTGGCATCATACCAATACCTCTTTGAGGATCAGGCGTTTGGAAAGTATTTATGTAATGTACAAATGGATGTTCGGCAGTAATTTCAAAATACCTTATTACACTGTCTCCCTGTTAAATTATTTAAAGCATATTTTATTGACAAACTTTCAATCGCAAACACAAATAAACAATGTTTAATAAAAATTGATAACCCGGTAGTAAACATTAAATAACATCAATACCTTTCCACACAAATAAATCATGCTTGTGTCAGGATCATACAATGGGAACATGACACCATTGCTCGTATCAAGCTCAACCATTACAATTGGGTCATCCAATTTTTCAGGAGACCTCAATGAATACTGTCTTTCAGACAGTTTGCTGAAGCCTGTAGTAAATATCAATCCTCCTTTCAAGAAAATACCTCGAGAGGCTTTACTGCCTTCATGACAAATTACTTCCTACAATAATAACACAATACTCATTTTCCAATTATAAAAGACCTAGATTTACTACTATAATTTTACTTACCTGTTCAACTTCACCACTTCGAGGATTTATAAGTCTAAGTTTTTTATCTTTACACGTAGTCAACAACTGTGATCCATCAAAATTCCAAGATGCACTAAACACTATGTCAGGATGGCAATCAATGTGAATGAGTGGCTCACCAACACCAACATTCCAAATTACTACTTGATTGTCAGAACCTAAAAATATAAAAATAGTTAATTTTTAAAAGAAAATGTATTTATTGTTTAGATTTACCTGCTGATAATAAAATATTTCGCGCAGTTGGATGCCATAAAACCAGACCAACTCTCCTTTGGTGATAGATCAGATCAACAACAGACTCGGTCAGTGTCCTAAAAATTAAAAATTATACAATGAAGTGTTTGAAAAAAAAATAGTTACAGTCTACTTAACACCTAATGGCTAAAATTATAAAACATGGAACATGCTTTAATCTACTGGCTATTGAGTATTGAATAATGATTATTTCCAATCTATACACTCCTTGCAATATATGATGATAGTATAGTCTTAATTTTATGTTGTGAACAAATGGTTTTTAGTAGTTTTTTAATATTTAGCTTTAATTGGTTTATTAGCAACATTCACCCGGTCAGTATGTTGGATAAATTTAACCATTCATTTAATTGTGCTCGTTTTGTAAACATCATAATTTAAATACAATTTAATGAACAATACTGAAGTACTGATAAAATCGAAAAACCGTACCAGGCGAAAGACTAGGGTATTTAGTTTTATACAAATTTAATATACATATTATATAAAGAAAAACGCCAGATGGCGCCACTTTTGTGACGCTATTTCGTGTCGTTTTCGAGCTGGGGCCTGGGAGGCCACGGCTAAAGCATGTTCCATGCTAAAGTGTTTAAGATAAAATTACCGCGAAATACCACCATCTGGAATTTGCCAAACCTTTACAACACAATCTTCAGAACCACTGGCAATCACATTATCGTTATGTGGACACCAGGCTATGTCTAATACTGGTCCTTTATGGCCTCCCACTACTGGCTGGTCTGCAGGCAATCTTCCGGTCTGAAAAAAAAATACACATTAGTAAAAATGTACCTATTTATTTCAAAATAAGTGGTGTATTTAATATATGACCAACTAAAATACACTAATGTTTTTAGATTATTACTAAGAACTTATTATTCAAGTCTTATCTATTTCGTTTAAAATAATATTTAATGAATTGTCATTAAATATTATTTCGGGTGCTCTTATATCGGGTGTGTTTTGTTCACAATACTGTCTTGAAATAGTTTTTTTTTTTTAATTAAATAATAAGGAATATTTAGGTGATAAACTCCACAACCACTAATTTAATTTGAATAATCATTTACGCCTATGATCAACTTTCTATTTTTTTTATCAAGTTTCAACTAATAGAAAACTAAATTTATTTTGACGATTTTAATGCTCGTTCAATATCGGCGGTAAAAAAGAAACTGGTTGACAGACTGACAGGAGCATATATTTTAATACACTTCTATGTGTTTAATGTTTTAAGGTGTGAACAACTAAATATTAAAGATAAAATAAAAACTTTTCGTCTGATATACAAGTGTAATGTAAATCAGTAAATGTAAAATTATGCCGCCCCAGTAGAACAATGACAACTGCAAAATTTGGTAAAATTGACTAAATGCTTCAATGTGTTTAGATATAACGAATGCATAATGTAGAAAAACGACGTAATTGTAGTTGTAATCATTTCCCAAGCATTCCCATTCCATTAAAATTACATCCCATAACATTTTAGTGAAAATAATTTGGTTTTTTAGTTCTCCTGTAAAATTTCAATTATTGCAGTTGTGTCATTGTTCTACTAGGGTGGCGAAATCATGTTATAAAAATATATGGAACTAATCCAATCTTCTTTAACCAAAAACCCAAAATATTTCTGGAACTATACAAAGAATAAACAAAAACCAAATTTTATTGAGTGATACAGTGAACTTATTTAAATCATATTTTGAATCTGTAATACGAATCACATTAAATGTTATAATACAGATATTAACTTTAGTAGCTGTAAGTTTACGGTAACTGAAATATTCGAGAAGCTTCGTAATTTATCATATAATACTAATAGTGGTCCTGATCAAATTATTCCTGAGTTAGTTTATAAAAAGTGTTCTTTCTCATGAAGTAAACCCATTCATTATTTATGTAATCTTTCGCTATCGCCTCAACAATGGAAATCAAGCTTTATCTATCCGGTTTATAAATCGGGAAATCGAAGTGAGGTTACTAATTGCTGCCTAATTTCGGGATTAAGTGCATTGCCAAAAACTTTAGATAAAATGTTAATACCAAAATTTGAAACTGTCTTTAAAAATATAATTTCTGATAAACAACATGGTTTTCGTCATTCGAAATTACTAACCTATTAATTTATTATTCTGATGTAATAACAATGGTTAGTAAAAGCATACAAGTTGATGCAGTTTACACTAACATCAGAAAAGCATTGGATAGTGTGGACTTGTCTATTTTAGTAAAAAAACTAGGATTGTTGAACAAATGCTAAATTGGATTAAATCATACTTGAACGGTAGAACACAACAGGTAAATCTAGGCAATCTAATCTCATGAGATATAAAGGTTACATTATGGACGACATTAAAAATATCTTTAAAAAAAATAGTCACTTTTTAATGTTTGCAGATGATTTAAAACTCTATATGCCTATTTACTCGATTTCTGATTGCATAACTTAAAAATAGATTTAGATAACTTTTACTCTTGGTGCTCGTCAAACGGATTAAATGTTAATGCAGAAAAATGTTCGCAAATAACATTTACAAGACGTAAATCCAAGATAAATGTTCATTATAAAATTAATAGTTCAGAATTAACGATAGTAACACAGATAAAATACTTAGGTATCTAACGATCTATCTTTTAACAAACACATACATATAATGTGTAATAAAGATCTTCATGTATTAGGTTTTATAAGACGCAATTGTCCGGAATTTAATAATCCTGATTTTTTAAAAATATCATACTTTACTCTAGTACGTTCTATATTTGAATATGGTTTAGTAATTTGGAACCCATATCAAGGCGGATTAATATATAAAATATAACGTGTTCAAAGTAGATTCTTGCGTGTACATGCATATTAAACAAACAAAATTGGCTTATTTCTTGAACAACTAATGAGTCCCTATGGTATTGTCTCACTTGAAAAAAGAAGGAAATTACTTGATGCATTTTGGTTGTTTAAATTACCGAATTCGTTAATTAAGTGCCCTGAATTACTTAGACAAATAACTCCAAACGTCCCTAAAAATTTTGTAAAATAACTGTTCTGAGCCCAATTTTTGGGCGTATTATAATAATAATAAAAAATAATATAAACCATAAGGCAAAAGTCGTTTTGATAATATATTAAATATATCAAATAAAAGTCATTTGATACTGTAATATGTTTTCCATAAAATAAAAATAACAAATTAGATCCGGATTCACGAGGCTGCTTTAATTTTTAAGTGTATTTTTGATATGCGTACACTCTGTCGAACATCCACGTTTAACACGTGTAGTCAAATATAGATACGCTTTTTTGCGATTTGTAAGCCACGGGATATAGGTAAAATAATTTTTAAAAAACACCATCAATATAATATACGGCGAATGACATCACGACCGGTGAACGTTTACAGCGAATTCGTGCGTTTAAGAATTATGTCTTGTTACGAAACACACACACTCATAGGTTAGATGCATACAAACATAATTACACATAGTTTATGCGCCATAGCCGCTTATGCGTGTGCATGGACTATCAAGCGAATGAATACTGGGGAAAATACCGATATTTATTTGTTTCTCTCTTTCGCACTATCCTCCTATTGCTACCAGGTCCCTAATTTAAATTGGAATTCAATTTTGTTTATAACTATTTTTGACGTTCTTTAAAAACTTAGCGGGTTATCGCCGTTAGAAACGCAACGACCGTACACGACAGTCGTCGTCGGTGACAATACCGACGTTATTGTATTGTAACATCAATGATTAACCAAATAAAAACAATAAGGAAAATTACGTTTAATACTTTTTTTTTTATAAATTCTGGCTTCTTTCACGAGGTACGTGCGCATATTATGAACCGTGAATATTAATCGTGACGTCATTGTCCGGTTAGGATTAATAATAATAATAACCATTGTTGTGTCCAGCACATATTGACATAGTACTGTGCATATCGAAGACCGAATGGAATGTAAACGGTACGTCATACCAATGAACTTATAAGCTATAATATATATTTGGACAATAAATTATACATACATATAATATTTAATAGATATTAAAACGCTTTACTGAGAACATGGTACACATAATATTATGTACACGCGATTAATTCGAGGACAAATGAAAATATATTACAGGGTGGGGCAAAAGATATGCAACGGTTTTGAAGGGCTACAGAAAAAAAACTATTCAACTTAGAAAAATGAGGTTTATATTGTTCGATTCAGTAGACAATCTAGTTTCTTACATCAAGTTTTAAAGATTACACAAAAAGTGGCGGGCGTTCCGATTATTAAGTACCTATATTGATCAAATTTCTTAACATTTATAAAATTTCTAAACATTTATTTACAGATTCATAGTTATGTTATATTCATGATTAAGTCATATAAAAATTAAACCAACTGTGCGCACTGTGGATTAAACAATAATTATATATGTGAATGAATCGATTGAAAACCCTACATAAAATGACCTTTGAAATAAATGTCATCATACGAACCAACCGATTGCGAAAAGTCTTGGCTATGGTAAAATATTTAACACATTCCATATAAATTCGTTTTAGAATCCGATGACAAATTTTAACTATACATACGGCATTGATAATTAAAATAAGTAATTAATTAATATTTTAAATGTGATCTATTATTTATGAGCAAAAATTAATTTGTATGAAGTGTTGAATGAGCTTCTTTTATATCATCTTCTTGAAAAAAGCCAAGATGAGAAATATAGTCATAAGACATTTTTTTTTACAATGTGATAAACCGTTGTTTAAATATTTAATGGCCCGAAATCGGATCACTGATATAATAAAATAGTAACCATTAGTTCAAGGAACTAATCATTTAATGAGCTTTTAATCAACCAATAAATTCGAAATATATTTTTAATCATTCAATAACGCGCTATTGGTTCAGTAAACATTTAATGGACGTTTATGCAACCCGGCAAACGTATATTTTCCAAATTAATTAATTGCCTTTATTTAACCGTGTTTAATATTATGTCGAATTAGTCGGAATTGACAAACAAATCGTTTTGAGATACAGATACCCCACAGCTATAAACTGCATAATTACCTTAACTTTACCGTTATTAAGTATTAACTCTCCACTTGACAGAAAATTATTGGCTACGCCGTTATACAGTGATTTTGTAATTGATGTTTATTTGTTCGATACAAGATTTATTACCTAGGTCAATATCACGTTCAACGTAACACTAACGACCCAACTTTAAAAAATGGTGCAATAATAAACGGGTGATGTCCATAAATATAGACCGGGGTCTATATTTTTTTAATTTAATTTATGCCATGCCACAAAAATGCCAAATATTTTTTAACGTGGTTATGTTTTTAGTCCAGAGGGTCGATTCAAAATTTGCGTGGACATTTATTTGAAACAATGTAACCAAGAAACTTAGTTCAGAAAACAAAAAAAATATATTAAACAACCGTATGTGACGGGTTTTTTGTTATTTCTGAAAGCTATATTACATTTTAAAAATTTGCTTTTTCTGTTTTTTATTACTTCAATAAAAAGTTATTAAAAATTTAAAACGCTATAGCCTATAACGCAAAAAGCTCCCGATGAACGTTGTATACGGTTGTGAAAATTCTCGTTAAAATACACAAATATTTGAATAATTGAATACTATTTTCGCAATTTATTAATCAACATGTACGAGTACGAATGTAGTGACGAAAAGCAACACGTTTCATCGCTGTTGTTCGGGAAAGTATTTTTCTCCAAGTCGGGCTATTTCTCGATCGTCGGTCGTAGAAAATACACGCTTTTTAAAATTTAGTACCTGTTATTGAAATTTATGTATACCGAATATCTACGAACAAGACAATTTATAATTGATAAAAATAGTGATAATATTATACCTCACAAACAAAAGCATGGTAAATTTACGTCGGCAGGGGTAATATGGCATTTTGCGCACGGCACGCACGTTGTCGTCGTCAGTATGTATTTTTGATGAGTTTGCTCTCTCCTAGCGGGTCCTAGGAGACGACTTTAAATATAGAAATCGCCACAATGAACAGTGACGGTTGTTTATATATATTTTATATATTAGGCGCGAACAACGCATCGTCGACAAGTCAAGAGGGGATGGCCTAATTATGGCATAAGTAACTGTCCGCGATTATATAAAACGTGTATTAGAGTTGGAAAAGTTTGTAAAACAAACGCTGTAACGCCAAAACGTGTTATCGTTATTATAGTATTATCGGAAATTCAGTAATTTAACACCACTAATAATTAATATTATCATTGCTTTATTATACACAGGTGATTCACCAAATGGGTGATTCACCAATAATTATAAACCAGTTAATATCATAAAAGATTTTAGAATTTTTTTTAGTTATTCTTTTTCCTTCTTTCAGTTAGTCCAAAGGTGATAGGGCTACATTTTTGGAAAATAATTAAAATTCATCTAACTATTAATTATAAAAATTATTATTTAAAAAAAGTATAAAATTTAAAAAATACTAATAACTCCTGAGATATTGACTGATTCAGAGTTAATTTATCACTCTGTAAAAATGTATATTACATATTGACACGTCGTACGAAAAGTAGCACCGTTCAAGTTCTTGCGAATAATAACACCATTCGAGGCTTTTCACGAAAATTAGTACCGTTGGCAATGACCTTTCAAAAAGTAGCATCGTACGCAAATTTCTTACAAAAACTAGCACCGTTGGCACCAATAGCACAAACGGTGCTAGTCTTCGTAAGAACTCACGAACGGTACTACTTTTCGTATAGGGCGTCGATAACATATATTAAATATTTTAATCTATGTATACATAAATAATTATTTTATAAGTGCAAATGATGTGTTAATTCGAAGTGGGTAGGAGTCTTAAATAAAGAAACCATGCATTCAATGCATTCAATGCATCAATGGATGGAGCTTCATAGTGTTGCGATAGATAAAAATAATAATTAAAACTATTTCAGACTGAATTATAAATAATACAATGATATTTTTTCCACATGATTTTAAATGTGGTAAAAACAACTAATAATAGTTAAAAGAAAACATGTTGGCAATAAAACTTTATGGTCATTGACAGTCTATATTTTTAATGTATAGTCTATGTTTTTCAAAAACACACCATCCTACAACATAATATTAACTTACAACAAATACGGCTTACTGTGTTTCATTCCTGCTATACATAGTATCAATAATAATCATTAGGCAAATAAAAATCACCATTATTTCAATTAATAACTCAAATTTCAACATGCAGCATAAGAGTACATCTTTGAAATAGAACTTTCATTACGAAATATCTAGTTTAATCAAGATAAGAATGCAAATGTACCAATATTTGATTTGCATTAGCCATCAGACATCAAGGGTATATATGTAACCTATGTACCTTTTCCTATGTAGGAAAACAATGTGTGTATTTACAACAAAATGTGTAAAATTTAAAAATTGTTAAGGATTATTACGATCTGTTATAAAGAATACTATTAATAATACTGAACAGAAAATTAAAAAATATTATTTAATAGCCTTATATTGTTAAAATATAAAACATTCAATTATAATAATATATTTTATAATAATATAACCTGCATTCTGAACCAAACAGTTTTATAGGAAATTAGGAAGGCTTCTATGATTTGATTAATATCAGAGGTGTCCAGAAGGTGTGTCTCATTACACGCAATAAGAAAATAAATTGTATGCATTATTTTTCTAAATCGTTTTTGTTTATATTTAACAAACAAACGAAGTCAAATTTATTTTTAATAGAAATATTGTTTTAACGTTTACAAATAATAGTGAGTAACCTACTGAACTATTTGGCTTAAGTTCAAATCCAGTTGTATAAGAAAAACACTTTTTAAAATAGTATATCCTAAAATTAATAGTACATAAACGATATTATTAATAGCGCTTCTCGGCTTTTTTAAAAATATTATTAAATAATAAAAGTTTTGATTAACAGGAAAAAAATATATAGAAAATATATATAAAGGATATATTTATTACTATTATTTAAATTCATTAACTTTAAAATACAAACCTTATTAAGAGGTAGAACAATGAAGGCTCCGCCACCAGCCGATTCAACAATACAAGCCACAAATTTTGGGTTAACGGCACAAAATGTTGAATCCCAAGAGGACTTGGATACTCTAATATTGTCATAACAATATTCTCGTTTCAATGCTGTACCGTAAACATGACGAAACTTGCTGCTTCTTACTTTAAAAGACATCTGAAAAAATAATATTTTACATAAATTACTAATATAAAATAATTACGTCAATATAATGCAGTATAAGTAAACAAAATATAACTCCAGTTATGGTATAGCACAGAAGTTGATTCAGGTAACAATCGGCACCTGAGTTAAGCTGTGTTCATCACATGCTTGATCCCAGATGGGTGACCAATCAGGGTTTTTTTGCAACAGCCCCAACTGCACATATTACGAATTACACAACAAAAAACTCCAAAACCATAATTCACAAATCTGCAAGATTATGTCCATAGCTGCCAGTTTTAATAAATTAAAATAATCATAATTATTGTAAAAACTAAATATTATTTATCTATTTAAACAAAAAAATTAAACATTCAGAAAAAATTAACTTTTTGTCAAATAAAACTTTGTATATCACTACTAACTTAATTATTAAATTATAATTAAAATTAAACGATGAGAATATTATTTTTTATCAGAGGAAAGAAATAATTTAGTTATACATCCATATTAGTTTAAATGATCGAGTACTTATTTCTTTTTATGAATGACAAATGTAATATGTCATTCATAAAAAATAAAATTATTATTTTAATTATAATTATGATCCTTGTATAACTTAAGTTTATATACATACACAAATATATTTATCACATTTGAGTATAATACTATTAGCATTAATTACACTTGTTATAAATTAATATGTTTGACAATTAAATCATTTTTTCTTCTTAGCTATTACACAATTTTTTCTTTTATAAAAATATCAAAAATTAAATTAAATGTTTTTAATTGTTTATTATTTGAAAAAATGAACTTAATATTTTACCAATGTTTTTTTAAGGTTTTATGCATATTGGCAAAAAAATGGATAGGTACGGTGTTTAATTAAAAACAAATTTGCCTTTTACATATTACGCAACAATAAGGGCTCCATCCCATATTTCCTTCCTTTTTTTTAAACTAAAATTACACACAAAGAAGTACATTTTTTAAAAGGATTAAGTGTATTAAAGCATTTCCGTTTTTTATTTGCATAAGCTAAAATGTCGGTAAATTAATATATTAACTCTCTAAAATAACAATGGTTTAGGTTGCCTGCTTAAACTTGTTTTTATACAAAATTAAAAGGTCACAAATTATCTAAATATATTATATTATAATATTTCAAAGTAAAAATATAAATAGAGCACAATAATAGAAACTACTGTTTTATTCCCAATTAAATTTAATAAAAAACTCACATATTTTAGTTTAAATTTAAACTGTCCATACTTTACTAATTTATAATTTAAAAATATGTTTTACTGCCATTACTTCCTAAAAATAAAGTGAAAAATGTATAAATTAAAAATTTAGTTTTTTTTAAATCATCATCATCAGCTTAATAGACTTTTAAGGCCAAACGCTGTCATTATGAGATGATGGTTTCTAAACGACTTTGCTGTCCGGGATGGAACGCCAGATAGGGGAATGGCAGCTCATTTCACCAGACGATTCCTCCCCTGGCCAACAGAGCGCCTATGACAGAGCATCTAATCCAGCGACAGTGAGTGCCTAACACACTGACTACATATTATTCATTTGTTTGATGACAATCAAGCGCTTATATCTATGGATACATATTATGTACTTATTTTTTTGATTACTTAAATTTATAAAAACCTCCCAAGTAAGCTAGGCATGTGTAAAGTGGTGCCAGTCAATAGTTTCGCAGTGTGTCTAAGTTAATCCCAATACCTCTGTCCTCTAGAACCGCAAGTGTCACTGATATCACTGATAACCCATTAAAAATAATTGGTATGAACAAGGTTCGCAAGACAAATTGAAATAAATTTAAATTACAATTTACAAAATATAATTGGCATCTAAGAATCTAATATCATCAAAAAAATGTTTTTAAAAATGTTTGAGGTATTGAGTAACAATATTTTCTCTATATCCATGAACATCATGTAAATATATGTAATATAATATAAGTAATATATGTATTTTACATACCTAATGTGTTAATAATGAAAGTTAATTATTTTTAACTAAAATCCTATTAAAACATTTTATTTTATATTGATGGCATTACAGTACTTTTAGTATATTTAGCAAAGTGGTTAGATAAAAAAGTAGTCACAGAAAAAATATCTGGTCAAATTTTTGGTTGGAAACCATTCGGCTGATATGTATATGGATGTAATGATTGGAAAACGGAGAGTTAAAATAATTGACGACAAATATCTAAATTACCTACTAGATAAATAATCTAAATTACTTTAATTAGTATTTAATTTGTTGTTACATTATTATTAGTTATTCTGTAAAAAAAGGTAAAATAAGTTAAGTGCACTAAGTAACACATGATACATAACATAACTATATTAACAGTAGTATTAAAATACTTAATATGTTAGTTATTCAAAAAATCATTCAGAAAGAACAATCAAAAAGTTTTGTTTAATGTCTTATATAAAAGTTGAACTAATCAAATTATGTTTTTTTAATGATGTGCTTTCCTAATATAACAATAGATGTATATAAAAAAAAGAAATTTATATGTATTAAATGCTAGATCCCAACAAGACTAGAATAAAATAATATATGAAAGGAAGTAACATTTTGTTTGCAATGAAATAAAAACTTATCTCATTATTACTAAATATTTATTTGGTATTTATATAAACCATTATTAAATATTACTACATTTTTGTGTTTTACTTGGAAATAACACGTTTCTGGAAAATTTTAATATTACCAAATACTTATTAGAATTTTTCCGAAAAGATTTATTATTTTTCAAGTAAAACACAAAAATGTAGTAATATTTAATAATGCTTTAAATAAAAATCAAGTAATAAACATAATAAAAATGTCACTAACAAACATGATACAGCAATAAAAATTATTAACATACTTTTAATTAAACATAATTTTTCAATAGCAATATACATACACTCAATAGAAAACACTAAGTCTCTTTCAGAAATAAGTACAGTGACACCTTTTAATTATTTACCGGTAACCTCTAAATAAGTTTTCTAATACAAAAATATAAATTTGACCTATAAGGCTAAAATCATCCATCTATATATTTAGGTAATATACAAAACATAAAAATACTAATAATTAATAACATGCTTTGCCAATGAAATCAACAAAAATTTAAAGCTAAATCCAACCATATATGGTTAGTTAAAAAACCGAAACTCAAAAATCTAAAAATATCGTAGTAAAGACCAAGACATGAACAGAAAAAATCGAAAACAGTCCCAAATTGTATCAATTTGGACATAAACATTATACCACCGGCACAACAAAACATAACCACCCTAAATCGCATTGATAGCTTGTCCCCTGCCCAAGTAATATAGTAATAACATGAAACACCCCGTCTGTACCACCCCACAGGGCGTCGAATAGTGAAAACCGTTAGTCGTGTTGTTTTACAAAATAAATAAATACATAATGGTTAAACGTGTTCTCACCTCGGTGACTCATGCAACAGGAATTATTTATTTAAATTCGTGTTTTTACGTAACGTGTACCTAGTGTATTAAATATTCTAATATTGTTTTTTTATTTCTTCTTTTTTTCGGCTGGGCGTTATCTCGGGGACACGGTAATAGTCGCGCGCGCATACACACACACACACACGCACATATACACGACACTGAACTAAAGAGCGACCGGCGTTTTTCGAACGACCAACACACGCTAACTGTTGAAATCCAGACGGCCGGTGATTATTATTAAATTACGATAAAAATAATTATTATTATTGGCAGTCACAGCAAACTCAAATGCGTTGTCAACGAAAACGGATAATATCACAGACAACGCGATTCGGACAGATTGCCGAAAGTGTGTGGCGCGCGCGAACGGGAAACCGGAACACGGTGCGTACGCCGTATACCGTCGTCGTGGTCGTGTGTGTACCGTCGGCCGCCGTCGTCATCAGTCGACTATACGGTGGTGCGAGGAGGGGAAGGGGAGACTATTATGAGGTAGTATCTGCGGTGTGACTCAAGAGACGGGGCGGTAGGAGGAGAATATTAGCATTTAGCATGGACAACGTCGGCCGATTCGGAGGGAAAAAAACCAGAGACGTCCGTCCGAAATCACTCGACCATATTTGGTGTTTGCGAATGGGAACGCACGTTGCACAACGAAGATATCGAGATGACGGCGATTGCCGTTGTCATCCACATCTAAACGGATATTTATGGGGGAACTGAGTAGCAACCCATAGGGAAGAATACAGATTACAGAGTACAGACACTCAACTCAAGTCTCAACATCGTCGATTTATTAACATACAGACTACCGTACAAATTGTCTTTTGCACAGTGTCGCCGCCGTCGCAGTGCAGCCAACCGTAACGATTGCTCAAGCGCTTCTTACGGTTCATACCTACTATGTTACTTCACCCATACTGCATACATCACGGTGTATAATTAGTATAAATAATTCATTATTACTAAATACTAATTACTTTTACCCTTGTGCATCGGATTATTTTGATTTTGAAAATTTTAATAAAGTACTTGTAAGTTTTAAATTGAGGTACCCATCAAAACGCTTAGAAAAAAAAAGTGAAAAGTCGAAAAAAAAATGTCTCGTTTTTGGACGTTTTTTGATTACTACAGTCTTTTTTTGAGGTTTTTTTTTTGTTATTTTCTGAAGGAAGTGGAGGGAAATTCCACGAGTTAGGTTTGGGAAGGCATTTATGATAAATTAAATATATTATAGACTAGGGTTTTATATTTTGCTTGTTTTTAGTATTAAGCATAGGCGTGGCTAGTCTTTCTGGCAGTGGCGTATCCAGAATTTTTTTTTTTTTTGGGTGGGGGGTTAAAAAACAATATAACAAGTTAAATTGTTTTTAATATTGAGTGATTTTTATTGTAATTTGTACATAATTAAAAATTGTATGTATTACTTTTTTAAAATGACAATTACTGCTGAAATAAATATTACATCGTCATATGAACATTTTACTTCGATATCGCATAAAATCATTAATTAGAGTTTAAATGGTTTAAAATAGATAAAAATATTTAAATTAAAATACATAATTACATTTTAAATTACATATTTTAGCATAACTTTACAGCGTGACATAATACATATATAAAAATATTTTATAATATTAAAAAACACTGTACTCATTATATAATTATTTACCCCAGATTTTGAATAATCGTATTTTGTTTCTCCTGTAAAATTTCAATTATCTCAGTTGTGTCATTGTACTACCGGGGCGGCGATGTATTCATATGTAACACTGAACTAAATTATAATAAAAAATATTGAAGAATAAAAATACTAGCACGGTAAATTTTTAGTAGAATTATAAAGTAATTGAAATTTATTGAGTGCTTCTTCAAAAATTCTTCATAATTGTTTCTTTTTTGGTATACCTTCTAGAATTCCGACACAATCTGTAACAGGTATTGATTTGATCCTCATTCTTTGTTATTATTGAACTATACGCCATACGGTACTAAGCAGAAGCTAACATTTTTTGTTATCTAAAAGCACGAATTAAAATAATTTGTTAATTCATGCTTAAAAGTAACACTGATCCTTGACAATTTCATGTAAATTCAATTTTTTTCGTCAATAATTTGCCCTTGTAATACAATAATTAAGTAAAAATAGGAAAACTACATGTATTATAAATGTAAAATCGAATGATTAGGATCGGATTAGAAAATTCAAAATTGGCTTAACATTTTTTTTTCGAATCGAATGGGGGGGGGCACAATTGAAATTCGGAAATCGTGCAAATAAGAACTACCCTAATGGACTTATTTTACCACTGGGGTAGTTTTTTCATACAACTTTTTTTTCGTTTATTATTTATTGATTGTTTACTAAACTTTGAAATTTTAGTAATTTTTATAAACTTATATATATAGGTATATCACTTTCTTTTATACAGTATTTCGTTCTACATATCTTATCCAGACATATACCGGTCTTATTTTTTTTATTTATGAGTAACTATTTTATTAAAAATGAATTTTTTAAATTGTTATTGATTATATTTTGTTTGTAACATTTTTTGTTATCTATTTATTAGTTTAATAAAAACTGAGTTTCTGTCATTACTCAACTAATGTTTACAAGTTTTTTTTAAATTGTATTTTTATCTATTAATTATATAAATGTTTGTTGTAGATATTATTACTATTTCATTGTTTTTACTTTTTTTAAATTGGTCATGTATGATGTACAACGTTCAGTTGTACAAATACAAGTTCCGAGTAAATGCTCAAAATCTTAAAATAGACGTTTCTAAGATCTCCCCAATTGTTATTATGAAATATATCAACGAACGATAACAGACAACTTTATTTACAACAAAAAAAGTTGTAGCGTACCATGTTAGAATTCGGATAACACGTACAGTTTTTGGGAGTTTTCCTGTATTTCCTGAAATACAGGAAAACAACCAACAGCTGAAATATGATACTTGAAAAATCTTTCTTGTGCTACATTGTAATAACACGTTTTTTGGCTAATTATCGAATTATAAGTTTTATCAGTTTCAATGGGCTCTAACGTGATAAAAACAATTTGTACCCCGAAATATTATAAGAAGGATTTTTAAGTGCCATATTACTTTTTTTAAATTGTAATTAGTTTTCAAGTAGAATTTGTTTAATTAATTATTTAAATGTTCCTTGTGTTATCAAATAGAAAAATAAAAATTGATGCAAAAAGGACTTAAGAGTTGAGCTGAGGATCTGAATTTTTGGAAATTTCTTTTTTGAATAAACTACATATTAGATTAAGTCGTATTACATTATACATAATTTATTACAAAATTATGTTTTTTGTTTAAACCGCAATTACATTAGTAATTAGTTGAAAGTTACTTGAATAATTGATTATTTGGATAACATTTTTTTTTAAATATAACACAAATTTTTCCATAAAAAAACACATCTAAAGGAAAACGGGATTATGAGGCGAAAATTGGCTAGATAATAAACTAGTCTTAAATGTTAAATTTATATTCAACATCCTTGCTAGAAAAAACCATTAACCTCATTAAATAAAATTCAAATTTAAATACCTGGAAAATGCAGAGCTTAAGCCCCCTCAAATTTGTTATTGGAATTGCACCTATGAAGGGATGATAGGATGGGTAATGGTGAAGCAAACCACAAAAATGGTGTTGTGAAATTGATAGGCAAAAAAAATGTGTGTAGCTAGCCCAAAAACATTGATGTAAAAAATATAAAATAAACAGATCAATTTTATTTAAAACATTTTTGACATTCTAGCTGAGAATTATATCTCAACTGTAAAAAGTAAAATTTGTCAAATAGGATCTTAATAGCGAGTCAACTATTGAATGTTATTTTCTAAAAATGTATACATGTATTATTTAGAACAATTTATGAAAATTTAATAACAACAATAATTATTATTTTATTGAACAAATTTAACAATTTTTTGATTGACTAATGGCAATATTTCTCCAAATTTAGCTTCAATTTTAATGTCAACATCATCATCAGCCCTAGTTGGACCTATATTTAATAGAGCAATCGGTTTCTTATAAAATTTTGTTTCCAATACTATTCTGTACCCTGAATAAACAAAAAGAGATGATCCTAAAATAAAAAGAGAATCACAATTCTCTATAAGATCATTAACTTTCAAAACTCTTCTTTTTGGAATATTATCTCCAAAAAAAACAATTCTAGGTATCAATAAATGTCCTTCACACTTGGGGCATTTAGGAATTTTGAATCCATCAATTTGTTCCTATAAAATCAAAAAAGATAATGAATATATATTAAATTTTTTCAAAATTTAATTAACTAACCGGAGTTAATTCAACATCACCATCAGGTCTTAAATTGTATAATTCTGTAATAGACACCTCTGGATTCAAACTCATCAAAACATCTTGAAATTTATGACGATCAATAGAAAAATCACATTTTAAACAATGAACAATATATGCTGTTCCATGCAATTCAAGTACATTTTTACTACCAGCTTTGGTGTGCAAATTATCTACATTTTGAGTAATAATATGTATAGTTCTTTTATCATCTTCTAATTTTTTTAGAAAATTATGTCCATAATTTGGTAACATAGATGAAAATCTTGGCCAGCCTACAAAGTTTCGTGCCCAGTATCGGATACGTGTCTCTTGACATTTAACGAATTGTTGAAAAACTACTGGCCTACTTTTACTAGTTGCGTAAAGACCAACACCAGCTGATCGATAGTCAGGAATACCACTTTCTGTAGAAATACCAGCACCTATTTTAACAAAAAAATACACAATTAATTTATATAATAACACAAAGTTTTACTTGATAATAGGTACTAGATGTGATACCTGTAAGTACAAGAATTCTATTGTGATCGTTAATAAAATTTGTTAAGATATTAACATCCGATAACTGTACTGGTTTATGTTGTGGGACAAAATTTGATTTTGTTCTGAATGATGTAACTTTACAAAGTTTAATAGCTATATTTCTTAAAACCATTTTTTACAAGCATGTAATATATTGAATACCTATTGATGTAATTATAACAAATAAGCTTTATATCAAATTTTATTAAATTAAATCAGTCTTTTTGTGGTTTTCATTAGAGCTTATATTCTTTAGGCTTTGAATCATCAATATCATAATGATGAAATAATGGAAAATTAAAGGAGTTACCTGTTATACAAATTTAAATAGCATAGGTTATGAATAAATAATACATATGTACGTGTAGTAGACACCGGAGAAGTATAAAACCCAAAATCGACATTAAAACATATTATTTTTTTTTACTTAGTCATATTTTTGAAATAAAAATTAAAATACAACAATAAGAATTATTATCAATATTCAATCATTTTATTATTCAGCGTTTAATGTTTTTTTAACTGATAAGTTATCAGTATAACTGATTAACTTTATCATAATAATATTAAGCATATTGGAGAAATCCCAATAGTTATATCACAGAATTGAATTTATTCTGTAGTGTAGTCAGTAGTGACTGGGGACATTGAATAAAACAAAAAAGTGTCTCAAATTTTCAATTTTATTATTTTTATTTTTATTATATTGCTTTGAATGACTAAAGTATGTACAGTAATTCTGCAGCCGTGAACTCTGTAATGGGGTTAATGTCACATTTGACTGCTTCCGAGTTGAGAGAAATTCTGAATGATGATACCAAATTCGAACATTATGCTAACGAATTGAAAACGGTACGTATTGGTAATATCAACTCTTGCGTTTCAAAATAAAGTTTTAACGATAATTTTATAATTTTAGAATAAAGACGGAGATACTGAGAAGGAAATGTTGATCGCTAGCAATCGATCGTTGGCAGAATTTAATCTGACTAAAGAACCAGAACTTGTTAGTGGTAAAAAGAGATTACATGAAATGTATGAAGAAGCGGAGAAGTTGTATAAAAATGTTATGGAAAAAGTAGATACTTTAAGTAAGCTTTTGTTTAAAAATATTTATAAACAAAATATATATACATAATTATTTATTTTATATTTTGTTTGTATATATTTTGCATTATATAGTATTGTAGACATATTTACATTCTAACATGAGACAATTCTCATTAATAGTTTTAGTACTTGTGGGTTATCACGACTTACTATATTTCTGAGGGTAACAATATAGACTATGGATATAGGTATCATAATACTGTTATGTATTTGCTAACAAGATCATCATGCTGCTAATTGCTTATTTTTGTTCATTTCGTTACACTTTAAATGACAATGAATCATTGGTATTTACCATCTACAGAAAAAGGTGCCGTAGCTTTCTATATACAAAAAAGTTATTTTACAACAAAAACAAATATTATGTTCATACGGTCACAATGCTAAATTATATTTTGGAAAATTAAGTTTTAGTATCACATGTGTGTTGACAATTGGTTTGCCTACAGTCTAATTTCAATTTTAAAGGCCTTACATTTCATATTTTGTAAATTATAGTATATTGTGTAGCAGGTGCATATTTATGGAGGTAGCTGAGGAGGATCCAGCCTCCCCCCCCCCCGAAATTTCACGAAATTTGTTTCATCTTATGTATCTAATTGTGTTTTTGAATTGACTAAATGGCAATTACGTCATTTCGTCGTAACGATTAAACCCTATACTGTACACCGTACATGTATAAAGAAGAACTTTATCTACGGGGTGGTGTTTTTAGTTTTTTGATAACTTAAGCACAATCAAAATTATTCATTCGTGAAGATAACTTTCGGTGCGTAGCTAAGAAGAACATTTTGCACCTCCGCTTAAAAAGTGACACAACTCAAAAAAAATGATTTTCGAGGTTATTATAGCATATTTTAAATAAATATCAAATCATTATAGTGAAAAAACGTCATGAGTCTATTATTATTTTTCATCGATAGATGGCGCACGTCACTTTTGGTATTACAATATTTTACATAATGTACTTTTTTAAATGACTTATGGAAAATGACATTTTTCGAGTTGTGTCACTTTTTAAGCGGGGGTGCGATTTGTTTATAATTATATGATTAATTTTATTTTCTCCACGATATCTCGTAGGTCTAATTCTTTATGAAGGGATGTAAATTAGTTTTAGTTTTGGTTACTTTTAGAAGTCTTTCAGTCGTCATAGAATATTGTGCATAACATTATATATGTATAATTCTGTGCTCATTTCAATTTGGTAACTAATTAAAAAAAAATGTTAACTTAGATATTTGTGTCATCTTTGTTTAAAAAAGAGACTTTTAAAGAATTCATTTTTTTATACAAATTTTAAAAATTTTAAATTATGAAAATACTTACCTCCTAGTTTATTTACAGTTAAATACTGTCCATCTTTTGCCCCTACATAAATTCAAAGTTGTTCATATTAGTTGTTAAATCATTATTTAAGTATTCATACCTATTAAGTAATAACAAAATAAAATAGAAAAGAAAACAGGAAAGATATATGACTCCTTTAAATATTGTAGAAACCCAATTTGTATTAAATGATTAACAGAAACTTAATAAAGTAAGTTTATATTTCTAGTAACTTAATTATTTACTGAAATGGCAGTTTGACACTTGTTATTTTATACGAAAAATCAATATTACCTTACTTAACGTGTTGTGTTATTTTACTGATATTTTAGAGCAAAATAAAAGTAGCTCAAATCCAGAAACTACATTGGCATTATTACAAACTAGTGCTTGTGAAACTGAAGAGGAATCCGACGTGAGTTAGAAAATGATTAACAATTAAATGTATTTTTATTTTATTATTATATTAGTTTTGTTATTATTTAAAAACATCTTTTATTTGTATAATATACTTTAGAAAATGGCTGAAAAATTTCTGAGTGGCGAAATTGATTTGGATGGATTTTTGGAAGAGTTTTTAAAAATACGTAAATCTATGCATTTACGCAAAGCCAAAGCAGACAAAATGGCTGAATTACTACGTAGACGTAACAGCTCCTACAAACCATCAGTTGAAAGTATTTCCAATAAAATGGCCAGCTACCCGCAACCTGGCTATTCTCAACCCTATTTTCAACCAACTAATTCTGTGCCATATCCAAGTGTACCTTCCATGCCAATGCCAGGAAATCCTTACATGAACAAACATTTTTAAACCATTTAACTTTTAATACTAAACATATTCACAAATAATAATCTTATATGTAGACTATTTGTGTTATATAAATACACTTATAAATTTGAAATATGTATATAAAAAAATTATTTATATAATTAATATAATGTTATAATAATCTTTTCTCTGTGTTTCATTTTTTTTTTTACTGCCGAGTGTTGCCCCTTACCACTGGATAATTCCTGGAATGTATTTGTCAATAAGCGATTGATAATATGGTTTCAGCTTTTCAATGTCTGGCATTTCTCCTCCTTTTGTGTACAAATCAAATTTACTAAAATTTAAAAATAGTTTAGTTCAAGAATATATAAATTTGTTTGGCATATATTACAAATTAATGGTACTCACTTGAATTCCAAAACCCATTTTTTCATTTCTAAATCTTCTTCAGTGCATAAGTAATCGTAATCGCCTCCAGAGTGCCAAGGGTAGAACGAATGGAATCTGAGGAATCAAATCAATTATTGTAAACAATACACCAATATTTTAATAATTATTTTAGTTTTTTCTACGAGCTGCCAATTTCACCTACCTGATCATGTTAAGGCCAGTTTTGGGAATTTTCGACTTATTATGTACTAACACTCTATATAAATATTCGTCGTGGCCCCAAGACATCAAAACATTGTCCAATCCACAGTTTTTGGAATATATTCCCAATTTTGTGCTGTAAGAACATTTTTATATTTATTTTTGCTTAAAAATGAGCCATACATGATTTATTTTGTAATTTTTCACTATACAGGGGACATATTATAGTTAGTGTCTATTATTTGTTTTGTGAAGTTTTAAAGGAAGAGAATATAAAAGTTTTAGGGTCAAAATAAAACATTGGAGAAAAATTGCTTGAGGATAATTGGACCTAAATCAGAATGCTGTAGAGTTTAAATTTAGCAATGAGTATTGAATAGGAGAGGTAAAAATATAATAGGTTGAATGTGGATATAGGAAACCAGTTGTTTTTTGAAAAGAACTTTGAATAAAACGAAGAAATATAAGTACTTTGGATATAAATATTTAAGAGAATGAAAATTAGAAGACGACGAGTAGAATAAATTATGGATGAAAGGCATGTATGGTGTGAAGAATAGGTAATAATAGTACCTATAATCGATTTTTTGGGGATTGTTCTAAAAATACGATAAATTAGACTATTTGAGTCGGGTAAGATTAAAATAGTTTGGGCATATTAATTATAAAAGGAAGAGAAATACAATTATTAGCGGGCAAGATATTAGAGTAAAGGGATTTAGAAGACGAGGTGGGTAAAAGATGTAGTGAATACATGTTATAAATATAGAGACATAGCGTAGATAGAGAAATGTTGAGATAAAGGATTAGGGCGATTCAACTTATATAATGTAACGCGAAAAATAAGGACAAATTTTTTTTTTTAATAATTGAATCGTAGTGGTTAAACTTTTGCTTCACATTATCTCATTCATATGGGTTAGGCCGAACAAATCGGCTCTCTCCACAAATCTATATCTATCGTCATTTCTGTATTCACTCCGCACAACTTAACGAGTATTATCTTTATTATCAATACGCGAACCACTTCTTCAATCACCTCTACTTCTAAATTTCTCTATTGTATAGTATCTCCAACTTTTTTTACTATTCCAATTTCCTCCTTCTTTCAACATGATCAAACCATCTGTCTCTGTCTATGTTTATACCTACTTATACTCGAGCTATTTGTTTTTAATGCACCAATTTAACTATCAAGTGCCAATACTTCTGTACTCCCATGACCTAAAACCATATCAGCGAAAATTCGACACCAAGGTGCATCAGGGCGGCCCCTATATGTCTTTATTAAGTTCATCCATTACTAAGGAAAACAAGTATAGGCTTAATGCTGACTCACGATTGTACTTAATTTGACAGTAAATTCGTCTGTTTCACACTCACTCTCTTAACACTAGTTTTCGCTCTTTACGAATATCCTCTATTATTTGTACGTACTATTACGTATGTACGACAGTGAATTTATCTAGATTTAATCATGAACTCATGATAGCAACGTTGGGGCTTTAAGGCCTATTAAACTTGCATGATAATGATATTTGAACGTATTAAAATCTTGGCAGTTGGCACACATTTCTTTTCAAAAATTGTCCTTACGTATATCTTGGTACTCTGTTTTATACTTTACCTAAGGATCTAGTACTTTAATGTTCTCCATTCTCTCTACATTTCTCTATTAGCTGCATTACGCGCTTACTTATAGTTCGGGTTGTATGTGTCTGGATTTTTGCCGAAAGTTGTATCTCTGTAAACAATGGATTTACCCCAAGCACATCCGACCGGAAAAGTGTCGCCTACCACGCACCACTGAGGTTCGCCTTTGAAAGCCATCACCTATGATTAAACAAATGAAGGACAACTATTATGATTGTCGCGTTAGATTTTTAGTGAGCCGTTGGCTATGTCATTTTTGGATGTTTTTTAATTATCTTTGCATTACATGTTCTTACTTTGCCCAAGTCATGTATGAGTCCTACTAGGTGGAACCAGTCTTGATCAGGGTGAACTTGACGAATGCGCTCGGCCGTTTGGAATGCGTGCACTATGTTAGGGATATCCACGTCAGGGTCGCTCTCGTCTATAATACTGTTCAGGGATTCAAGGGCGTCCATGGCGGTTGCTTGGAATTTGTCAAATGCACACCACTCAGCCATTTTCCCTAGAAAACAATTTAATATAGTAGTAGTAGTTATATTATGTAAGTGCATTATAGTGGAGGAGTATTTTGGGATTTTTTTTTTAAGTATGCCCTGACTACATATGAGGCATCTAGAACTATATCGGCCCAGTCCACAAAAAATCAAATTGTGTTTTATTTGAAAATATGAATTGTATTTTCTACCAGTGCCAAATTGGACTAACCCACAAAAATATTATTCGCTAGATAGCAGCAATTCATAATTCATTTTGTCATTGAAATTTTAATAATTATCTTCAGTGCCTAAAAACTTTTAATGTATAATTGTTCTATACATGGTCGTAAAGGTATTAATTTATTCATATTTAAGTGAAAGAATAAAAGTCAAAACTTTGAAAGCTCGTGCTGTAAAATTTTACTTTTGAGGGTTGGGCCGATATGGTTCTAGACGCCTCTTATATTAGCCTACTATGCCCTCAAAATGTAATTCCCTTTACACATTGGCACAACTAGAGAGGCTAAAGAAACCATTTCGTGGAATAAAGGTCAAATTAACAAAAAAAAGTTGGATAAAAATTAAAAAGTATTAAAAGCATATTGAAAGGAGGACAAAAAGTCCGATTATAATATAATATTTGTATTACACAAAAATTAATAAATAATAATTACACAATTTATAAATAATAGTCCAATTACTAAATTTTCTTCGACTTTGAATTTTTGAAATCTATTGAATAATACAATTATATTTATTTATATTTTATTTTTAAATTAAAAATTTAAAGTGCTTAGTTTAAATTTACCAGTCGATGTTATTAAGATAGATGGGTATTTAAAAAAAAAATGTAATTATTTCCATCATAGAAGAAACAAGTTTAAGTTTTATAGTGTAGGAATAATAATTATTGTGTACTACTTTTTTCCAATCTTTTAAAATAATAACATGTTTTAATAGAAATAAATTTAAGTTTACTATTCTCTGGGGTGGGTAAAATACAGTATCTACTATCTTTTCTACTAAATACAAGATATATGCACCTTAAGTTATAAGATACAGTATCTAGTATCTTTTTTTAAGATATAAAGTACAGAATATTATTTTGAACAACTTTTTAAACTAAAATAAGAACTTATATATTTATTTAACTTTTTAAATTAAGAATAACTTGCTGACAATTTTGGCTGGTCGATAATCAACTTTGGATAATTACCTTAAAAGTTCTTTGAGTTTAAAGTTTAGGACGGGAAGAAGGGCGGAGTGATTTATTATTTTTATCTACACGCATTACTTAACCGCACTCCCGTTCTAAATTGTAAACAAATTAACATTAAAAATAACAATTTAAAACTGGTTATCGCCCAGGCACAATGTTTAGTAAATTATTATAAATTCAAAAATTCAATTAAATATATATTATGTTACTATTTAAATTTCAAAAGTTGATAGAGCTATGGAAAATACTAAAAAAGGTAAATACTTAGTAATTTTATAATATTGTAAAATAACAAAAAAAAAATTGTTTAAAAAGAAAAAACTATAAAATTGTTACTGTCCGAGAAAATAAGTGTCTTGCGTTAAATTGTTCACCTCGTATTTAATCACTAAAAATAGTTGGGAAATATTTCTTTATTTACCACAAATTTCAAGTATAAGTGGATTTATCAAACGTTCCAAGGGCAATTATCAAAGGACACAAAACAACTTTATTTTATTAAAAATCTTCAATTAAAATGTATTTGTAAAAATATATTTAATATCGTTACCTACGTAATTAAATCAGTGTACCTAATACAAATAAAATTGGCATTTGGAAAATAGCCTCTTAAATAGAATAGACCGTGCCGTTTGACAAATTTATTTTTCGTGTATATTAAGATTTGGGAATAAACAATTTTCTTCGCTTACTCGTGACGAATTCTACTGTTTGGTTAGTGTGCATTTCGGTATAAGTGATTCTAACCCTTTCCTTGATTGGGTCATTTTGATCCACTCCGTAATCCCTATACCGGCCAATGGGTTTTGATGCAAACTTATCCTCAGGTCTCATCAACTCTGAAACCTCTAAAACGTTTATGAGCTGATTGCTGCCCTAAAAAAAAAATTAACGACACTATATTTGTAAAATAGAACAGTTAAAACTTAGAAATGTATACACAAATGTACGTTAATTATAAAATAAAATGAAAAAATTAGTTAATAGATATATTCTAAGAAAGTATTATTACAATAATCAAACTGCACATTTTTAGTGTGTATTGTATTGTTAATCGATTCACGTGTGCGGCGACTATGTGTTTGTTCTCATTTACTGAATATATTAAACCCGTAAAATAATGGGACCGTTTTCTGGTTTTCATTTAAATACCCAACGCTTATCTCACAATATTGTTCCACGATTATCGCTGGCCAATAACAATAATAATGATTAAAATTACACTATTATTACTATTGTTTGTTTGTTATGTTAGGTTCAACTTTATAGAAAGCAGCGTGAACAATTAAAAATTTCAAAATAGTTACTACTTAACCTAACCGACCTTTAATCAACATATTTCATTCGATGGGATAACATCAAACTGGGCCCTATGAGTAACGAGTATTGCAAAACAGAGGTTAGATTCTCCGTCTCTAACACCTTTTTTTTTTGCTACCACATCTAATTATTTACTGGAATACACCTTTACAATAATTCAAATCAAATATATATGTATAAGAGAGAGAGTGAGAGAGAGGGAGCTTAAGAAGTGGGCGAACTCGTACTTTATCGTATACAAAGATTCGCACAAAAGAGAATCAAAGAAAGCCAGGCGTTACTGTATATGTATATGTATCTGCTTTCGCTCGTTTTCTCGTTCGTACGTTTTCACGGGTTAACTATCTACGCCTAAAGAACAACGCGCCTAAAGAAGTTTTACTTCAAAAATTAATTTTTTGCAAAGTTACAGTCATTTAAAAATGTTAAAATAGTCGTTATTTCTAAACGATGTATTGAGCGTTATACTTGGAATAATAAAAAAACGCACCGTGGTGCCCTCCGGAATATTGTTCTCTTTTATAATGGGTGCTTTTACTCTAAAACCAAAATTTAGCTAGTTATTTTCAGTCTGCTTAAACATGTAGAGATGAAAAAACATTTTTAAATCGCTTTCGCGGATGCTGCGATAGCCCGAAAAATTAATTAACTACCAAAATAGAGTCCTACAGTTATTTTGAACTAATAGTTAGACATCACAGTTAACTTATCTTAAAATTAAGATTTTGTAAACTATACTTCACTCCTTAAAAACGGGTGGTGCGACGCCCTCTTATCTAGTAGCACTGATCCCTAACAATTTCTTGTAAAATTATTTTTTTATTATTAAGAAAGGATTTAATTACAATGATAATAAGCCAAAAAAATAATTTTGTTCGTCAATAATATTAACCTTTGTAGTAGAACAATTACATTAAAAGTACGGGTATTGAAACGAAAAACCTCCTCATGCCAGCGAGTAGTTAGAATCGAATAAGGAAGTTCAAAGAATGCTTAAACAATTTGTGTTTTTTTTATTAGTATCTAATTAATGGGGGGAGGCATAATTGAAAGTCTGACATCGTGTAAATAAGATCAACCGTAATACTCATAGAGTATAAATCCGTCTACATTTTTGTTTCCTACTGACTTAACTATAACTCTCAATCCTTTGTATAGGTATGCCAAATATACAAACCATTGTATTATATTTTATAGTTTATAAAATGTTAAAACAACGGTTTAAATAATGGTTTATCAATAAAAAGTTTATAAGAACATCGATGAATTCGCAAGCCAAACGAATAAAACGTAAATTAATATGTAATCGATTTGGGTCATATTAATAAATTATGAAAGGTCTTATTTCATAATGAATACTTATATTAAGTTTTTATTGGAAATTAGATTTGAATACACGCAATAAACGTATTACGCTCAAAACACAGCTGCTAATAAATTATTATTTATTTACTACGAGGTATGAGATATTATATACATTAGGGTCAATAGGGCTTTGAGGCTTATCTTAGTCATAGGTTAAATATTCTATAGATAGGCAGAGTTAATGTAAGAACTAGAAATACTATTTTACCGGCATTTCTGCATTTAAAAAAAGTGAAAAATCACGTTTAAAATCTAGATTTTTTGCCTAGTTATTTTGTCTCAAAACTTTTTGGAGACAATACATTTCATTTGTTTCAGAGAGAATAACTAAGAAAGGAAAATTTTTTTTTTTAATGTGTATAATGATTGTACGATTCTGGAAAACATATTAAAATGCAGAAAAAAAATTATCGAGTAAAATGTAATTTTTGCTGAAACTTTTTTCCGACCCTTGGCTGAACATTTCGAATAATTTTTCTCCCCTAATCTGTGTCTTCATTTAAGCCACTGTCCAGAGTCAAGTATAATATTCACTAACATCATGAAACTTGAAAGCCGAAAGGATCGTTAACAGTAGTGGATCAGCACTAATCAATACCAAACGGTCACACGTGACTTATGAAAACATTTTAATTTGCGGAAACGTGAGATTTTTTAATAATTAATGGAATTGCTTATCTTAAACGAGAGTTGCCATTTTACAAACGTCATTGACACTAAGAGGTCACTATGTATTTATCAGCAGATTAAATTATAAAAGGCCAATTGAAAATAGTCCACTATGAACTGTCGATCCACAACAAAAGTCAACAACAAACAACGATGATAATAATTATTTAATAAAAAAATACAGTCCTATTTATAATACAACTGTATCAATTATACAGAGTGATCCATCTGATGTAAGACCCTCATTTTCTTGGAAAATATATTTTTTTTCCTATTCTTGCTTCCTATATTTTACTACATTTCCAGTACGTTGAAAATGTTTACCTTCATTGCTTATAAGTTATAACTTATAAGTAAAAGAAGCGTAGACTTCGTTTTTTCCAAATGGGACCATAATATGTTTTTAATTTCATAAAATTGTGGACAAAACATTTAAAAATTGTTATCGGTCCTATTGTTATTGTATCCTTGCAAAGTCATAGCAAACAAACAGATTTATGAAAATTAAATACTCAAACGCTAAAATTTTTTAAAATTCTTTATCTACATATTAATGGTATTAACACGTATGTTAAAAAAAAACAACATCCTTGTTGGTTTTGCGTATAAGGAATGAAGATAAAAATGTTCAACGTTTTGAAGGTTATAGTGAAATATGAACCTACAAGTATAAGAAAATAATTATTTCCAACATATTCTCATATTTTCTGAGAAAATGAGTGTCTTACGTCAAATGGACCACTCTGTATTATGTTTTTTAATTTATTTACAGTACGACGTTCCTAGCTAGTGCTATCTAAGGATCTACATTTAAGGATGTACAATTTTATACAGATACAGTATTAGCTTTTTATGACATGATAACAGTAGTAATGCGAGAAATATAAGGTAATAATAAAATAATACAAGACAACTAATAGTAGTTATAAATAGTACAAAGTACTAATAGTAATATTTAGACATATAATAATAAGAATAATTAATTAATCATTAAATCCATAAGTATTTGTAAATTTTCTTAACAATTAAAAACCAAAATTAATGTTTCAGAAATTCCATGTTATAATTGAATAATAATATAGTATATATATAGTATCTCAGTTCTCGAGTGTATCCTCGTTTTTATTTATAAACAATAAATATAAATATTTATAAAAAAATAAAGATTACCTATGCATCTTTTACGCACCATTTTTTTTAGCTGTATACGATTTCTGATCTTTAGAGTGGCTACATGAAGAAATCAGTTCAGCGGTTTAGAAGCGGTTTATCATAGAGTCAGGCATAAAAATAAGGAAAATAAAAACGCATCATTGTAAAACAATACCTTCTCAGCTACGCATCGAAGCTAAAATTAAGTATTTATACATCAAAATAGTAGTATATATATATATTATGGTCTTTATTAAAAATGAAAAGGTTGACTTCTTAATAAATAGTATGGTATGTACAGTGTTCTCAAAGAAACTCTTTTTAATAAAAATTATAATTCAATTGACAGTAACATCTGACCGTTTTATACATTAATAATGTTACTAGATAATCTATTCATGGAAATAAAAAAAAAATTATATGTAGTTAAATACATATAATATGCAATACTTACACTGTTACACACTTTTGACTAAAAATATGCACTATTCATTGACGTAACAAAAGGGCTGAGGAAATTCAGATCTTTTATAAACTCTGAATTTAAGTAAAAATTATAAACCTTACTTAGGGGCTGGTCCTGATTGGTAGCTGACATTTGTTTAAAGACTGGGCGAGTTTAGAACGATTTGAACTTTCCCAACCACCTCTCCCTAGTTACGTCGCGTTAATGACATTGCTGTAGGTGTGTGATTTATAAATTAGCTGTACGAGTAACAATAAAGTTAACAACAAATTGAATAGAAATTTATATTATACTTGAGTGGTAGATTTTATTTTATGTTTAGTCTACTTATTTCGCCGATGAAAGAAGTGGACTTCTTCTTAACTTTTTAACTCGATGTACCTTCGACCTTTCTGATACGATTTGTGATTGTTTGCGGTTTGATGTAATGAGCCACTCTAGTAAATTTGTCCAGCGGTTCCAAAGATACGGTATCGAAATTTATCACCATGCAAAGTAAAGAGAGGTTTGTCTGATTGTAGTTGCTAATTATCAGTTCTGACTTCAGACTTTTCGATAAATAAGTCACAAATTACAACTAATTGAAATTCATTTATTACATAGATCTTTCATCCAGTCTTACACATTTTACTACCTAATTATTCTAATACCTTATTCTAATTAGGTAACACTTACAATTGGTTTTTGTTCTAATGTTCTAAATATAACCATGTTACTGTATGCTGTATATTAATAAAAAAAAATGCGTATGAATATACAAGCAAGTGCACGTTTGCGGGAAATTTACCCTTGACATTTTTGCACCCTTATTTGTACTTCTAGAGTTAGGGTCGAACCCTTATTTTGATGAGTAACACCACGCAACACTATTTTGTCCTTTTCAGATAAAATGTTAGATCCCTCCATAAATGTGTGTTAAAAATTATAATTCTATAATTATATAATTATAATTGTACAAACTGAATTTCCAAACCAAGTACAGAGTACTACAGCTACTACTTATTTGTTGTAAACAATCTACAATTTAACAAATAAAGAGTTATGGACACTGTCCATAATTCTTCTTTATTATGAATGACATAATTTTCTTCTTTAACTCTAAATAGATTGAAAAAGAAAATTAGGAACGTAATTTCTTCCGAGCAGCTTGGAAAAATCGTTTGAACTTCTTTAACTAAACTTCTATACATGGGACTGAGGACTCGACTGCCTTCCCCCCCCCTCAGTACCTTAAATAAATAAAAGTATGATAAAAATTAATTTTATCTAACTTCATAAAACAATTACTTACACAGTGTACTGTGTAAGTATACAACAACAAAATTATAATCATTAGTCATATGGGTGGTTTAGCTTTCATTTGTATACACATTTGTTTTAAATATTGATTAATAGTAAGAGGCTATGACGTTAGTATATTTATTAGAATCAAACTTATCACTTGAACGATTTATGCCGAATTGCGCAAAAATTGATAAATTTACGAACTAATCGCAGGTCACTACTTGATTTTTAGGGATCACGTTATGTTATTAGTGGTTTATTAAAATCTTAAATGAACGTACAGATTACCTGACAGCACTAGAGCATAAATTCCAGGTGTACTCGGTGGTCTTATATAGCTCATCTCGCATATTCATCATACGCGCCTGTATGAACATTCGAGACATAGTCCATAGGTACCAAAGTCCACTACTATCCATAACAAATATATGGAAGTAGTTTATATGAAAAAATTAGTAAAAAAGTAAAATTAAATTTGTTGATGGTGAACTAATGTGCGAATTATGTTGTTCGAGTAATAAAATATTTGGTGCAAGGTGGTTGGGATTAAAGTATAGGAAATAAATGAGGTATTTTCGAAAACGAAAGAACAATTTAACAAACGGCAGTCAAATAAAGGGGTGGAAAGTCATCGGAAACAAAGAGGAAATATTAACTTGTAAAATCGATGGAAGAAAAAATCAGAAACTTGACGAAATAAAAACTTAGAAAAAAGAACAACAGCAATAGACATACGAAATATATTTTAGCGAGATTTGGAATGTTGAGTTTTTGAACAACGTAGGTATTAGAGGAAACTGAGTGAAATAATGGGATGATAAATCAAATTAAAAAAGTGCAATAAAATAAATAAATCATATTATGGATCCTAGTATAGTTTGGTTTAACACTCAAACTGCAACGGAACTTAAGTATTATATAATTTGTTGATCACGGAAACGGCGTCTGATTAGTCTGTGCGATATGCTTTTCGGACCAGATACGGTCCTATTTAGCACGTCTCACATGTTCATCGTACATGCTTCTATGCTTAAGGTAGGCCACACACTACGGTTTTATTTCTCAGTGAACCGTGTACGAACAAAATTGTCCGTATAATAATCCACGAGTACTTGACTTGGAGGCATAATGCGCAACGAAAGAACATGAGAAGGTACCCCAACCTCATTTTTAGATTTCTTCTAATTAATAAAAATACAATTAACAACAATATAAAACATTTATTTTCAATAAAAGCGACCTAATTTTTATGAATTTTTCGAGTCAAGCAACTAAGTGAATAGAGTCAATCACCCAGTAAACATTTTATTTTACATATAAATAAGCAATTAATATGTTTACACAAAAGATAAAACACATTAAGTACACTATAATAATTAATATACACAGGACAACATATAATACTATTTCTAAGCTACCTAAACATCTTGTTTCTACTGAAGACTTTGGCTAGTCAATTTGTCATTTGATGATTCCATACCTCCGTTGTTTCCTTTCCAACCTTCTTGTTATTATAGTAATTAATGTTACAACCACTTAGATTGATCATTGCTCTTATTATTGTATTTATCATTCTTCGTCATCCGCCGATCCGTTAAAGTACTCTCAGGAGTCAGGCATCAACTAGAATTATGTTTATCGAAAAATTACTATTACCTATTTGTTGTAGTGCTATTGCGCTACGTTTTTATTTTAGTCTAGCTTGGTATTCCAATTTCCTTATCCAAACTAAATCTCTTGCACGTTAACGTCATAGACGTCTTCGCTATTCTTGTCATAGCTATATCTGTTGTGTTTATTATTTTTTGATAATACCATATTTGATTCTAGCATAGTCATTAGTCCGGTATAAACGTCGAAAGCCGTACTTGAGCGTCAGTCGTTCAAGATATCCGGCTCCTGCGCTAGAGTAAGTTTCTCAGACCAAAAAGCCCTACTACTTCGCATTACAGCTATATAGCACGTTCATCGCACAGTTTCTATAAACTGTCGACCATCTCAAGACGGGACCTCAACGAGTATACCCTTATCTAATGGAATAAAATATATTTATATAGAAACACTATAGTCTTTTCAAAATAGCAACAACTCATTATAGTTAAATATTTGAGATTATCATAATAAATAACACTAATAATAATATTAGATGTTAATAATAATTTTATAAGAAAATTAATAACGATAACAATAATAATTTAAATGTACACTACATACCCCATTCTGATGATCAGCTAATACCTTACCTATGCGTCTTTTCTATACATCCAGCATCCATTATTCATCGTCTAATTTCTGGATTCAATTAAGTAGGTAATTAAAAAAAAGTTTGATCGCGTATTTTCATGTTACAAATTAACAACTTTTCAAAACTAAAACAAAACGTTGATTTGTCACAGATTGTGCTACTAAAATGGTAGTTAATAATTTACTTAACAACCGTCAACAAATTTATTTCAACAAATCAAATTATTTATTTATAATATTGGCGATAGGTCGTTAAGGTCTTGTATTATATCATAGACAATATTAAAACGGTTACTATGTAAAAATAATTAATATTTATTGAACAGTTGAAAAATGAACGATTATGAAAATTTGTGTTGTTTTTAAGAATAACTCCATGGCAATTGCATATTAAAACGTAAATACTTTCTTTTAATTCATACTTTTAAATAGGTGTATTATAAAATGATGTTAACACAAAGAGTCAGTCAATCACTTCGATGAATTATAATAAATAATAATAATGTCATCTAGTAGTTATATCAAAAATAATACTTAAATGTATCTAAAAATAGTTTTAAAAAATGTTACCCGCGTCAAATAAAAGATAACGGATAACAATAATTATTGACCAATTATGTATACCAAATATTGGTCCCCGTGTAATAAATTTAAAGGTATATCTAACTAATGAACAAAAAAGTAGAAAATATTGTTTCATGCTTAAAATATAAAATAGTTACTATGAAGTTTTAGGTACCTAATCTCAAAAAAAAATTGCAAGTTGTTAAGCATTAATTGTTATTATTATTATTTTTTTTTATTATTAAATTACTATTTAATTTCCAAACACATTTTGTAGACTTCCAAATTCTAAATTAAATTTAAAGTGTATTGTATTTTAATATGATTTTGAACATATTTAGTGAAAAAGTGGACTAGAAAATCCTTGCGAATTATAACAATTCATTTAATATCATTTTGGGACTCTGACACAACTTGAATGGTCTAATATTACTTAACAAATAACAATCTCATGATAATTTTTTTTTGTATATTAATTATTAGATTATTAATTATTTTATTTCTTAACTATAAGAAGACATTTTTTTGTGATGTCCGTAAATGGCATACACCCACAAACATATTACATAAGTTAAATACAATTTTTTTTAAATTAACATTATTTTGCCTTTTTTTAAATGTAAAGGGTTTTCGTGGTCACCCTGTATATGTGATCAGTTTTTTTAATTATAATTTAGGTACCTACGAGCAAAAATGTTACGGGCTTCGAACAAAGTTATTAAGGCGCATTGTATAGGCAATTTTTCACGAATACTAACATTAAGCTAAAATTTGTAAATATATAATATACTAACACAAAAAATTGGGATCTATTTTGATATTTATTTATTTTTCAACTTGTACATCGCATGCTAGCCTTATTTTTGTATTAAAATATATGTCTCTACTTCGAACAGTACGTTACTAATAAAACTCCCAATTAAAAAAAAATTTGGAAAAAAAAACATTTGGATTTATATATGATTTTTATTCAAAAACAAATAGACTTGACTTCATAATAAATATAATGATAAATGTTACCCAATTAAATTCTTTTAAATAAAAAATATAATTGGACTGACAATAACATCTGACCGTTTTATAATTACAGACAATAATAATATAATCACTAGATATATTCATAAAAAGTGTAAATAATGTCATCAATCATACAAATATAATATATAAATACATATAACATGAAGTGCACACTTAAAAAGTTTTAAGTATGCATTATTGCAGGTGTGCGATTTATAACTGAGCTACAAGAGTAATAATAAAGTTAACTAAAAATTGAATAGGAATGTAAAATTTATTTGAGTAGCAGATTTTATTTTTTTAAGATTCGATTGATTTCTTTGTTTTGTCTTTCCATATTTATATCAGCTTTATCAGCTTTACCCATAATGTTTTCGACCAAATCATTTTGAGAATCTATTTCTTCGCCAAGTCCTAAAGCTAAGCCTGTAAAATTAAAAAATAATATGACACAAAAAGAATGTTTAAATAGTAGGCATTAGTTATGATAATAAATACCTTTTAATCTGGTAACTGATCCTAAAATTTCATCTAAATTATTGTCAAGTGAAGATTGTACATCACTCGGTCCAGTTATTTCGTTGTCAACCAATCCTCTTATTCTCAAACCTAAAATAATATTTATTAATTGGATAGAATTCAGTTTTATGAATTCAAAGTAATATCAACATTGTGCTGACAATGGTCAAAAACAACTTTACATTTTTTGTAGTATAAATTATAGCACCATTTATATATTTTTATACTTAATGCTTAGTTAAAAATACTAGTAGGATGAGTCTTAGCATTGAATAGTAAGGTGTAATTATTAAACTGTGCTAAGCAGTAGACTATCTATAGTTTATCACCAACACCATTGGAGGAATTCTTATAAGACAATATAAAGGGTACATTGAAGTGATCTCATAACTGAACTCTATTTAAAATGTATATATAGCTCTTAGATAATTACGATGCACTTTATAAGTATAATAGTATGAAAACTGATAATCCATACCTGGATGTTGGTCCATTGCACTAATATTTGAATTGGCTTGTGCTAAAGTATCACCTAATGTACTTCGTCGCACTTCACTTACTTGAGCTGGCCCAACAGACTCTTCTGTAGAAGCACTACGAGGAGGTAAGTTAGATTTTCCACTGAGCATATTTTTGAAACTTCCAAAGATACTCTATTAAGGATAAATATAAAAGTTACATGAATACATTGCATATGTACAACCACAATGTATTAGAGGAGTTTTTAGGATACTATGATTTACTAGGAATTAAATAATATAGATAATTTTACTGCTATGCAACTAAACACACATATTTGTTTAGGTAGCTAACGTATTAAATTTTAGTTTTTACATATTTAAATAATTTGCCGTAATTTACATAAAATAATCATATTGGGTTTTAGCGTTTTTAATAAGTTAACACAACTCATTTAATATTAAAACATTTACTTTTATTCCTTGTATATGCTTTTGACTGACACGTAGGTTTGAATTGATTTCATCTAACCGTTTATCAGTATTTTGCAGCTGCTCTCTTTGTCTTACTAGTTCCTATGACAAGTTTAAATTATTAATTTATTAACGTAACAATAACATTTACAATTGATATATACTTCAGCTGTTGCTGTTCCAATGTTTTCTGATTCCCGTAGGAGGCGTAAAGTTCTCTCAGTAGATTGTAAAGTTTTCTGTTCTACATCTTTGGTGGTTTCGATCACTTGTTGCTTTTGCCTATGTGCATTCGCTATATCTTGATTGCCATTGCTTTGACCAAACGGATCGTTTCTGTATCCTGTGTTTGTTCGAACACGACTTAGGAATTCGTCATCGTCTACATCATCGTCTTCGTCAAATATACCTCTTGATGAATCACTGACATACCGATTTTTCGACATTATACTTAATTATGTTAAATCAAAAAACACACAATCTAAGCAGGGTAAAAAACTTGAAATATGAATACTGCTTTGGTAAACACAATTAAATTAAAATAATGAAAAAAGTACTAAATTACTTAAAAATATTGCTCAATGCTTAACATATGTAGCCAGATTTCATTACGATTTAGTATTTACGACATTATTTTTTATTGTATTTCTTAACGGGACGGGGTAATTGTTGCTATGTGTGATTATGAAAATATAATCATAAGAACAATTGGTTCCAAAAGTGTTTGGTATTTTTTACTACCTTGTAACTAACATCATTTTTAATTTTTATGTCTAACTTCAGATCAGTTCAAATCAAACCTGTGGGTAGTGAATACTGAATAGTGATGTTTTATTAGTTTTGTATAGTGGCTAGTGAATATACCTACAAATTATAAATTTTAATAGTATAGACTATAGTTCCATTACGAATACTCGATTTTTTTCGTTACATAAATTAAATCTAGGTGAGTACAAAAAATAATGTATTTTGTTAAATAGTATTTTAAGTTTTAGTTACAAATTTTAGTTCTACAAGAATTATAATGTATTTACTTTGTTAACAAAAAATGCATTGCGAGGGTATCATATTCATCACGTGTACACCGCCTTCTTTTTTTATTAATTCAATTGAAAATGTCACAAATAAACAAACTTTTTCGATGGTGCCAAATATTTTAAATTATATGTAGATCATCCTTTAAAGTTAATTGTTGTTTTGAAAAGTAAACCTCAAATCTAAGTTTATGGTGAGGTTTTTTATAACAATTTATTTATTAAAAAAGTCAGTTGATTTAAAAATGTATATTTTTTTAGTTAACAAAGAATGTTAAGTGCTTATGGATACATGTGTAAATAATTTTTTTTAGTAATTTTTATTTGTTAGACCCTCTTGAAAGTAATTAGGGCTTCCGTTAGGGGTTGAGGGTAGTTAACATCTATTTTGCGATTTTTGGGAATCAAAAAAGAGGCTTCCAGTATTAACTGCGATACCGTATGTAATGTGTCATGTATGGCTTACAAATATATCATGGGTCGATTTAAAATTGGTCATTTAGGATAGTTATAATATCAGCTGTATATTGATGAGTTTTTAGTTTAATTTAGAAATTATTAATTTTAACAATTATAATTATTGTAACAATTATATTTAATGACTATAAAATAAGTTGTTTATTCAAATTGTTTTCTACATTTTTTTAGTAATATTTGGTAATTATTAACATTAATTTAATTTACAAAAACTTTAAATTAAGACTGGTCAATGAAACCAAATATGAAATAAGATATTTGTTTATAGGTTGATTTTTAAAATTTTTTTTAATTAAATTATTTATTATTACATTTTACAGAAATATGTCTGGACGGGAAGGAGGTAAAAAGAAGCCTTTGAAGAATCCTAAGAAAGAATCTAAGGAGTTAGATGAAGATGATATAAGAAATAGAGAAAAGATTAAGGAACAAGAGAAAGCTTTAAAAGAATTAAAAGCAAAAGCTAGTCAAAAAGGACCTTTAGCTGGTGGAGGAATTAAAAAATCTGGCAAAAAATAATTTATTAAACTTTAATATTTATTGTTTTATTGAAAATATCCTTATAATATGTAAAATTAACAAATGTATAACTAAATATTAAGTTCTTAACTTACAAATAAATGGTATATAATTTTTTTCAGGAATAACAATTTTGTAATGATCTCTATTAAATCTAAAATTTTACCTGTTAGAAATTTCATAGTTTTTTTTATGAAGTTACGGGTCGTAAAACTGTTTTACTCACCCCATGAATTAATATCCAACAAGTGACTTAAAACAGATAAAAGATGTTTTTTGCAATTAATGACTCAATCCAGTCAACATAACTAAAAAATTAACATTATTTAAGTATTTCTTGTTTACTCTAGAGCAACATTTTTCATCAACATGTTTTTGTGTAGTTTTTAAGTTGTACCCCCACTTTTAATGTTGGTGATGTTGGAGGCAGATGTGTATAAAGCTTTACAAAATTCAAATTATGATGTATCCTAATTCTCCAGTAAAGTTACAGAATGACTTTTAATGCCGAACAATTTTCTATACCGTATAATTGGGGTACTGCACAAAAATCAAAATGCACTACCCCTGGCTGTGCAAGTGTATATGAGAGTAATGCATTTTGGCTTCTGCGCATTACCATTCTTATATGGGATAGAGTATAGGTAATTAATATTTTCACCTTTGTAACCAAAACAGTTCTACTTTATGGGGCATGGTGTGGCGCAGCGATGTTAAGCTTTGACTTGTGTCTGTTGCTGCTTGATCCCGTGAGTTTCTGAAGCTTAGGAAAAAAAAAAGTTCTATCTAATTCATACGTAATACTAAAATTTTTGAGTTTTCAAAAACCATTAATAAACTACAAGTTTAAAGATTTGATCAATCCTATTACAGAATACTATAGAAATTAGAGTATACATCTTTAATATTTGATCTGAACTGTGTTAATAACAAGACTATACTTCATAATATAGTCTATGCTCAGTGCTAATAATACTATAATATATATATATAATAATAAAGAAATCTTTTTAGGTCTATGTAATAATATATTATAATTTTCTATACTTATTCATACTTCATATTTTATGGATCGTGAATTACGATTCGTGATGTTTAGTGAATACAGAATATTCTGCTAGATAGCTCCACGATAGATCATGTTGAGAACAACAGCCGCTGATATATGATAATGAAAAGTGATAACAGATAACAGGGTTGTGTAAACACGTGCTTAGAGAAGCAAGTATAGATGCTTCACCAAAGTTATACTATTGTTCTATTAGCTGGATCAGAAATATATTATGATCATTACTTTGAGTTAATTCTTAATTCGTAAGACTAGTTAAATTGAATATAATTTTGTTATAGCTATACTTAGGTATTAGTTTTTTATACAATAACTAAAAATAATTTTAACTGGCATTAAACTAAACCTAGGTACGTAAATATTAACATCATTCAAATGAATATTCAATTATTTTCATTGGATAGTTAACATCAATAAATTTATCTTTTTTCTTATAACAACTATTATCAATTATGTATTATTAACAAACTTGGATGTTTTGTCGTGTCATTATGTTCCCAGTACCTAGGGATGAGAATAGGAATACACCATACAGATCTGTTTTAGGAATCCGAGAACCCTAGTCATCTGTGATATGGACATTTTGTTCTATTTTCCACCTTTAAAACAGCATTATCTTAATGTACAAAAAATAAATGCTTCTGTAATATTGTAATGTTTCAGTTTCGTAATCAGAAATCATGGACTCTAAGGATAAAAGATTCTCTAAAATCGGAAATGATCCAAAATTTAAACGTTTACCCAAGGCAGAACGCAAAGTTAAAATTGACAAACGGTTTCAATCTATATTTAAAGATAAACGGTTTAAAGTTAAATATACAATTGATAAAAGAGGACGTCCTTTACGAGGTTCCACTACTGAAGACTTCAAAAAATTTTATCATATGTCTGATGAAGACGAAGAACAGGACGATGTTAATTCAGACTATGATTCAAACAGTGATGCCTCTGAACAATCCACTAGTCAAGATATAGTTCAAAATGATAGTACTTCTAATAGAAATCAAATTGATAAAAAAATTAGAGATCGTCTGAAAGATGTTACAGTTGACTATGCTAGAGGTGATGGCGTGATTATGACTGATAGTTCATCTGACGATGAATCATCTGATGAAGACAATAATGGTATTTATATTTAAGTTTTATGTTAAAATGTCTAAACTTATTACTAATTTATGATAAGTAATAAAATTATAACTAGTAGTAATTGATGGCCTTTGTATTTTAGAAACAGACTATTTGGAACATGGCTGGGGTGAGCTAGATAAAGATGCAGATAATGTAGAAGAAGCGACATATAGGTTAGCTTTATGTAATATGGATTGGGATCGAATACAAGCAACTGATATAATGATACTTTTGAGTTCATTTGTGCCAACTGATGGTTTCATAAAATCTGTCACTGTAAACATTATTTATCCTGCCTATAAAATAAAATAATAAAGGAGAAGTTAAGCATATTTTTAATTAATACAATTTTATTTTTTAAGATTTATCCATCAGAATTTGGGATGAAAAGGATGCAAGAGGAGGAGGTTAAAGGACCACCAGAACTTATTTCTGATAACCCAGTTGATATTGGCTCATCTGATGATAGTGATGAAGTAATATTTTATTATAATCATGGCATTTTTCTATTATAGTCATGTCCTTTTAAGTTATTGATCAATTTATTTTAGGAAGAAGAACAAGAGGGTAACAAATATCATATGGAAAAGTTACGTCAATACCAATTAGCAAGACTTAAATATTACTATGCTATCATTGTATGTGACTGCCCAGAAACTGCCAATAAAATTTATACGGAATGTGATGGAATAGAATATGAAAGTAGTGCTACACGCATGGATTTACGATTTGTACCTGATGATACAGAATTTGATCAAGTAAATTAATTATAAAATACAATACCATATTTTTTATAAAAAAAACAACGTATTTTAGCCTTGAAGAAGAGCTAAGAAAGTATGGTTTTAACTTTTGTTTTTTTTTTTTGGTCGAGACCCATAATATCTTCTTAACCGCTAAATTTATTTCTTCATGTAGCGAATCTATAGATTAAAACTAGTACCTGAATGTTACCTTATTGGGCTTATTTAGAAAAGTTCACCTTTTCTCTTTAAAAATTGAGAAAAACACCCTATATATATATATATATATATATTTTCAACTTAAAATTACAGTGCGCTAAAACTTTTTAAAATAGTCTAATTTGTTTAGAATATTTTTTAGAAATGGTACTATCGATAAACCTTGAAAAATCAAATATATTATTTTTCTTTATTTTGCTTTCTTAGGTGTAGTTTTAGGACTTAATTAGACAGATGATCAACCCTAATTGTATCCACCCTTTTATGAATACCTTATACAACTTTAAGCGCATTATTATCATTACAATGATCATCACATAATAAATTTGTGTGACTAAAGTGAAAACTTTACCTAAGTCACACTTCATTGAAGTGTGACTGGAAAACGCGCGCATGGCAGAAGGCTAATGATGAAAACAATTTTTTTTTTTTTATTTGTTTATTTTATGATGTTTAATATAAATTGTATTATTAAAATTATTTGTATGTTCTGTAAATTACAGGAGCCTAAAGAAATGTGTAATAAATTACCAGACTTGTCCAAGTACAAACCTCACCTTTTTACCACAACTGCTTTACAACAAGCAAAAGTTAATCTCACTTGGGATGAAACTGACCCAAGACGTAAAGAATTGGTTAATAAACTTAAATCCAATCCTAAAGCTGAAATAGAGGACAGTGCTCTACAAAAGTATATTGCCTTCAGTTCAGAAGATGAAAATAGCAACAGTGAAGAAGAGAATAACGATTCCGATGAAAATGAAGAAAATGGTCCTAAAAAAGATCCAATAGATAAATATAAACAACTACTTCAAACGATTCAAGATGAAGAAGAAAAAAAAAATAACAAAGATATGGAATTGGAAATATCTTGGGGTATAGGTACTCAAGACAAAGTTCAGAAAACGGTAGAAGAGAAGTCCAAAAAGAATTTAACACCATTTCAAAAAATGATGGAAAAAAAAAAAGAAAAAATGAGGGAAAAGCAAAAGCTGAAAAAAGAATCTAAAGAAATTAAGAAAACTGGCTCTGAAGAAGAAAGTGAAGAGAACAATTTGAACAAACAAGCTGAATTAGAACTATTGTTAATGGACGAGGAGCCAACTGACAAACATCATTTTAACATGAAAAAAATACAAGATGATGAAACTAAATCTTCAAAAAAAAAACATAAAAAAAATATTAAAAATGGAACAGTTGATGACAATGGTGGTTTTAATGTAAATAATTTAAAATATTATATAATAGAGATAATTGTTTAAATATTTGTTTTAATATAATTATTAAATGTTTAGGTTGATGTAAAAGATGAGAGGTTCTCTGCATTATATACTTCTCATCTATTTAATATTGATCCAGCTGATCCTAAATTTAAAAGAACTAAAGGAATGGAAGCAATTATTTTGGAAAAAGCTAATAGACGCCAACTATATGACACTGAAAAAGTATAATTAATAAAATATTTTTTTACCTCTACTGGCTTTGATATAATTTGTTTTGTTTATGTCATAGGTAAACGAACCACCAAAGAAGAAATCAAAAAATAATATTAATAATCCAGAATTAAAGAATCTTGTGAAGTCTATTAAATATAAAACTAAATATGTGAAATAAAACAAATTGTAAATACCTTTTGGGTTTTAATTTTGTGTTGAATGTTTAGCTAAAATGATATTAACCTAAAATATAAGGTATAATTAACAAATAATAAATTAATAGATATTGCAACTAATTTTACAACAAAGACTTTGTAAGCTGATGTTGGTACAAATTCATACGCTTTATATTTCTCTAGGACATGTTGTGCCAACCTTACTTAACCCTTAACTTCACATTATTTTTTTTCAATAATTACAATGTAATTTACACAAAAAACAATGTGATAAAATGATGTGATATCATACATAATTAGCTTTATTTATTAATTATTTACTTATAACAGAACTTGATATTTAATTGTAACAATTTTTTTAATGAAGAAAAATAAACTAAATAAATGTTTGGTGTACAAAATACACCAGCGTGTTTGGTTGAGGGTTAAGTTAAAATGGTTCTCGCACTTTGAATTAATTTTTTTTTTTTATTCGTGAATCTAATTTTTTCCATTTTATTGAAGAGTGGTCCTGTGCTATAAGCTTCTAGGGGTTCACATCTCTACTTCTAATTTTGATGTTGTAGTTGACCCAATGTTTGCTAGGCTTGAGTAAAAAAAAAAATGTGTTGTTTCAAGATGGGATTTTGGATTTTCTATCTCAATTTTTACCCGCGCTGTCAAGCCGGTGAAGTTTCCTACTTAAAAAACACTAGATTATCGTACCTTTTTTTCAATATTTTAGGAAGGTATAAAAAAGAAATCTTAAAAATATGCGATCAACGTGAGTCGCTTGTGTATAACACGTACCTACCTTCTTTAAAAAAAAAATGTAAGAATTAAATAGTCAGCCATTTTGCGCATGCGCAGAGTGTAAATATCGAGTTTTCCCCCTAAATTTCGGTTTTTTTTCAAATCATTTTTTTTATGACATAAATAGGCAGGATTATTATTTTCACACAGGCGAAATTCCTACGAGTGATAACAATAATAAAGTATATTAAAAGGAATAGTATAGTATACTATTGCTGTGAGAAAATAATAAAAATAAATTAGAAATGAATCTTTACTTAATACACTCAAATAATAACACATAATTAACATAACGAACATAAGAAGTTATAAATTCACATAGATAGACATAGACAAGTGTCAACCATGGTCCCATGGGTAATGGATTAAGGGTATTGAAAACGGTCTGTTTTTAAAACATTTTAGACCAAACAGTCTAACACAATTTCGTCTACTTAGACTTAGATTTAAATTCTGTAAAGAGATTTGAATTCTTTGGATACTTTACTAGGTTATGTAGGAAACGGATTTTTGAATTTTTGCTTTCTTAAGTAAACTAATTGTTTTTTTTAGTATTGATAATTTTTTTAAATTTAATTGATTTAATTCTAACAAACGGATTTTTTTTAATGAAAATCGAATTCCTATATTACCTAGTACAGTAGTCAGAGAACTTGATTTTTTTACAGAATTGAGGACGGACTATCCTAATCAAGCTTTATTTTTTCAGGCTTTTAATTCTAAAATACCACTAAATAGGAGTTTACTCATTGAAAAAATTGTATAAGTTAAAAATAATTCCTTGAAGCTTATAAGTTAATCTGTAAATAAATTGACATGGTCAACATTTATTAAAACCCCTATTTTCTTAAATATTGCCTATATAAAACTCCTTAAAACCTGCCACTTGCAATCCCCTTGGCCTTTAAGACGTTATACATATAATACTTTACTCATAAGTCAGAATATCTACATTATTAAGATTTTTTTTTAGATTTAGTTTACTTATTATGAGTTTCCTATTTCTCCCAATCAACACTGTCATATCGATTTGGTAAACTCTGCGAAAATCGTGGAAACCTGTGAATTTTGTTTCTTTTACGACAGTTACTCGTAAGATGACGAAGAAAAAAAAAACCAAAAATGTGTATCTTGTATTAATTAATTAAATAAAGTAATAATATAATTGACCTATTAAGATAAAATTAAAAAGATATTTTGGTGTGTTACTTACTTTATTTGACTTATATAAATACAAAATCTGAAATAAAAACATAGTACAAACTGAGGTTAGTACCTTACTTTTTCTCTGGAGTTCTCTCGGTTTGTATTTGTGTATACTGTATATATTATTTATATACCATATAAATTGTGTACAGTTTGCGCTTGGCCTGTGTAAAAGTTCTTGACACGTCTATGAAATTGTCTAAATAATGTATAAAAATATGTGAAATTATGTCTAACCTTAACTAGTACTAAAATATACCAATTCCGATAATTCAAACTCCAAACGAAACTTATAAGGAATATTTGATTATCAATTTACAGTTTTTAAACTGACAAAAAATGAAATTAATGCGTTGCATGTTGTAGGTCAAGTAGACAGTCAATGGTGTTTTGTACAATATGTTCACATCAATAAACAGTATACACCTTTATTGATGCAAGAGCACAAACATAATACTTATTTAAATAACAATAATATATATTTTTATACTTATATCCAAGTAACACTTAATACACTGTTGGGTAATCAATTTTAGATTAAGATTTTTCCTACAGTGTGTTGTGTATTTTAATGTGTATGCTGTATAGTGCAGTGTACGTTAAAACTAATCGCAGCTTATACTGTTGCCTGTTGGGTATTTGCAAGTGAAAAATACAATATGCAACCATACTTTTTGTAAACGGGTCTACTATGATGATCTAACAGATTTAATATGTAATTCAGCTGATTGTCGGATTAACGTCACGCACATACACTATATGTATAATTCGATGATATAGCTTACATAACGCATTTTTTTTTTAATTTTACAGTTGATATTTGAATAATGTCATAATATTCCATGCAGAGGCGAATGTAAGGGAGGGACTAAATCGGATGCAGTCATACTCGACATTTCACGAATTATTAATTATAATATAGTAGATTACTTTTTTTATTTAGTAAATCAAAGGTTAGACTTTCCGAACACAATCCTGGCTACGCCATTGATTCCAATATTCCATGTATTTAATTAACTTCTGAAAACCTAAACTTCTGGCTTTTAATATTGTACGCAATGTGTAGGAGGCTTGAGGCTATTAGATAGATAGGTAGATATTAGGGTATACAAAACTGATTTTCCACTCAAAAATGCACTTATGACACCTGTGCACAATGTCACCGATGTACATACATATACTGAAGTGTACACTATACTATATGTTATATTTGGTACAGAAATTTGCCCACTGTTTATACAATATGCGTTATTTTATGGATTTGGGTTTTAACATTAATAATTGTTAAAACATTTTAATTTTAATACTATTATTAACATATCACGCAGATTGCGTTTGTTTAACTACACACTTTGACACAAACTATAACACAGACCAAATAAAGCCTGAATAAAGGAATTATATTATATTCCCGACCACAAAATATTAGAACATAGTTTAGAGTATTAAGACCCATATCTTTAGAAGTGTTAAGATTACGGTTAGCTTGCACTACATTTGCGACTGTTACCCATCTCATAAAAACATAGAATTCTAGGCATCTATCAACCACTGAGTAATGACAACTGATCAATGATATATTTTTATTTAAATAATATAATACAGGCCAATGCCCAGTAACATAAGAAATGTGTACATTAGTAAATTACAGTAAATAGTAGAATGTATGCATAATAAGAATAAATAGAAAATGATAAAAGTATCAAAAATGGAATGCTCAATGGTAACTAAGCTTATTTTTAAGAAAGAAAGAAGAGTCAGTATTGCCAATGCGCATAAGACAGATGATTGGAGAGTTCAGATAGTAGTTTGAGGAAGAAAAGGGATATGAAAAGGGGCAGATGAACGTGTGCGGCGGCTGGGGAGATTGAAGGAAACTCGGGATAGAGAATCAGGGGGCAGTCAATTTTAGAGGAAAGTAGGTTAGTTAGGAAAGATATGTTAGCTACGTGTCGGTGATCAGCGAGACTTTCAAGGGAGAGAAGATGTTGGATTGGAGTATAGTCATGAGGAGGACAGGGTATGTTAAGTTTATAGGCAGCGTGACGGAGGAATTTTCTTTGAACCCTTTCGATCATATTACGGGCAGAAGCGGTGGATGGGTCCCAGATTACAGAGCCATATTCGAGAATGGGACGAACTATAGAGCAAAAGAGAGTTTTTAAAGGAGAGAGTAGGTGAAATTCTGTCGAGACTCGATTAATGAAACCTAGCAGATTAAGGGCCTTACAACAGATTATTTGGATATGCATATTTGGGCATAGATTGCGTGTAAGAGTAAAACCTAAGTCCTTTACAGAATTTTTTGAAATTTTTAAAGGAGTATTATTAACAGAGTAAGTATACATAATTGAGACATTAGAACGACAAAAATCCCCAGACTTTAGTATTGGTCTAATTGAGCCAAATTTAAGGGCTGTTGGGAAGATACCTGAGTCGATTGAACGTCTAAACAGTAACCATAAAGATTCAGCTATGACGGATCGAATTTTAAAAAGGAAATCTCCTTGGATACCATCAGGACCAACTGATTTTACATTGCGAGATTCCCAAGATATTATATTTATAATTATTAATATTAATATTAATATTATTATGTATTCACGTATAATATACAATAATTATCTTAGTTGGTTCAAAATAACTTTTGATATACATTTCACGATCATCTTACGTCATGTGATATATATATAAATATTTAATTACTGTAATATTAATTAGTATAATTAATTATACCTATATGTACATTCGTAAAAAAAAATTAATGTCTGATAAGTTGCGTAGAATATATGGGGTTACTATATTATACAAAATGCCACTTAGACGGCCACGACACGTTGTATTATCTGGTTCATTGTATAACCTACTTGGGATATATGTAACATTACAATATAATAATTATTATAAATGAATTACGAAACATCAATAATCGATCCGTCAAATGAAACGTTCACTCATTAATTATTACAGTAATAAAAATCCCATTGAATCTAAATTGGATCTATCGAATTCGACTGCAAAATAAATATGTATTTGATTACAAAGATAATTT